ACGTCTTTTAGAGGCAGAAATAAACGTCAAAATTGTAGGAAATTCATCGAGTGGTTGTTAAAGCCTGCAGTTCTAGTCGGGCACAACCTGACGGTGTTGCCGAAATTGAGAGATTAAGGAATTCTGTTGGGATTCAAAATCATACCTCGCACTTGAGAAATAGCTTCATGTTGCAACTGAGTGCGATGCCATCAACAGCGTAAAAACTTTAATGTGATACTCCAGTATTGCAAAGGGAAAGGTACGGATTATATAGAAGGCCACACGAATCCGATATACAAAAGAAGCACTGCAAAAATTCAAAAAAAAATTAGATTATAGTCAGGGCCTTTTTCGATGAATTTCTCAATAAATGCAGTTAGACGGAACTCCAGCCTCAGTTAGGTTAAGCCAACCACTGCAAAAGTGTGATATCATTGGAATTCATTTTAATTCTTTCTCTTGAGGCGATCGTAAAGGGAATGCAAATCAAATTGCAGTTAAAATAGACGATGGTAGCGAACAGAACACACGGGCAAGAACAAGCGCCACGCTTCGATGAAGAATTGAAATTTGTGGAAGAATGTGCTGACATCGCCTCCTCCAGGTGTGGCGAATATGGAGGCTAACTTGAGAAACGAGCAATTAAAATTGAAGCTTGAGTGATAAGAACAAAAGTGATTACTCGTTTTTGCTTCGCTGTCATGTCTGCGGAAAAAGTTATTACATAGTCATGCTTCACCTTCAATTCTAATGGCCAGAAGATAAAGTGGTCTGCGATTCAAGAACGATAGCTGTGTTGGTGCTGTTTTAGGCAATCGTAATGCTCCCAATTACCGATGTGCCTTTCTGGCACCAGAGAATCGTGTGAAACCCAATTGCATCCATTTAACAGTAATAGCAGGGCCGATTCAGAAATAGTGAACAATCTTATGGTTACGCACATCAGGTTTTCAAGGATTGATGAACTAAAAATGATTTGGAACCGTCCTACCACCAAAAAGCGACCGTAGAGAGCCATAAAGTATGTAAAAGTTCGGTAATCGTGCCTGCGGAAGATGCCAATTTTGGGTCTAGGGATGCAAGTTGATCAAATGGGCAGCGTCTAGGGGAATCGGACAAACCCTATGTCCTTTCAACTGTTTCTGTCTATATAGCAATCAAAGACTCTTAGATAAACCTGAAAGGGTCATGCCAACAAGAATCAATAGCCGGCGGCTTAAAATAACCCCACCATGCATCCAGGCATGAGTCAGATGGCGCCTGGCAGTTCAAGGACTAAAACAGTCAGAGGTCAATAGGGTCATCCCTGAATACGTTACATGTGTTAGTTTATCCCAGAGGATTGAGCGCACACGTTTGTATTACGTGTCGAGCCGCCTTCGTTGTTTTCTCCTGACCGAGTTTGGCGTGAAGGCTGCACGGCGGAACTAGAGATTGGCAACCAAATACTGTTTATAAAATGAATCGGTTGCAAGTCTGAAATTACCGCAACCGAGGTGGAATCTGTCATCAAGCCGTCACAACATCGTCTCGAATTCACACTGCACAGCCAGACACTTCGTCAAATAAGACACTGATTTTGCTGACAGGTTCATCTTCTTGGAGCTAAAAGAAATTCAAACATTTGTGAAATAGTCATTGGGTATTTAGGTATCTTAGAAGAGTTCCTATAAATGTATAACCAAATTGTTATAAATTCTCTGATTTAAATGAACTGGGCCGATGATTCCCATACATTTGCTTGTTCATCGATGTTAGGCGTGTTTGGATGGCAAAAATAGTTTTTTTAGCGTGTAAGCTTGGAGTCGTTCTTGAGGAATTGAATACGGTTTGAGTGGCATCTAATAGGACGCAACTAACACACAGTAAGGCAGTTAGGTGGAAGAAGAGAATCTGGGTAACGGACATACAAATTCCACCCGACAATTGCAGAAAAAATCGAAGAAATTTCTTGGAGATGAGGAACTGGGTGAATCAGGTGGGCGGTAGCTTGTCCATCACAATTTTAACTTGTGCAGAACCAGTGATTAAAACAATTAAAAGTGTGCAACGGACGTGCTCGTGAAAATAAAATGGTTGTGGATCATATTTCCTGTCTAAAACCATTCTATTTTTTGCATGATGGTGCCAATTCAAGTCAAACAGCGTGTTACAGCATTCGAATTTTTGTTCAATCCTTTCTTACGTCTTACCCACACACATACCTTTTAAGACTAGCGCCAGCAATTCACACAAAATTGTGTCTAAGCAGTGCTATTTTGTAATGAATGACAAAACATACCAGGCGTTGTTAGTCATTTAACCTGTAAAATCACTGGAACAATCGGATTGTCGAAAGTTTTTCCCTTTCTGGCCTAGATATCTGCTGCAAGCACTTGCATGCAAATTGTATCAACAAATTTCAATTTGAGATTTCAGTATTAAGATAATTGCCAAATAGCAATACCGCAAAAGCACGTTTTTCATATTAATGTCTGCTTTTAAGTATTTGTTTGTGATTTAAAATTATGTAAATACTTATTATTCATGGGGTTAAACTTAATACTCCAATCTGAGAAGCTGTGTAAATAACTGCAATTAACAGTTTCTTATGATTTAAGCAATGTATACTAGATCTCAAAAGTCGCTATCGACTGATGCCGACACAGTGATGCACTGTTTTATTTCGATATTTGAAGTAAAACAGAGTAATTTAAAAATTCGCGTAATTGAACATCAATAAACCTTAGTCTCCACGTTGGCCTTTCATTATTGAAAGTGCTATTTGTCAGTTTGTACGAATGTCCAATAAGTATGTCACAACAATCAAACAATTCCGCAGATGCAAGCACCTAACATTTCTCACAGGTGAAATCAACCCTTTCCAGCCGCGTTCATATGCAACCCCACTTTATCGCACAAAGCAACTCTTCAGCATTGAAACTTAAGTTTCCGGTAAGCAGCTAATGAAGGGCATCCAGCTGAATTGATTGAAAATGCAGCCAAATGTGTTGGTAGTCCATATAGAATTGTGATTTGTACTGGTTTGCTAATCTCTAGTTCATTCCAAAGTCGGTCAGGAGAAAGACAACGAAGGCACCTCGGACACGTAATAAAGGTGCATGCGTGTTATCTTAAATACGTACTTTTTTACAAGTTGGCTTGAAGTAGGCGCGTAACGATGTGGGGGTTCGTAGAACACTTAGCTAAGAACCTATGGAAAAGCAGTAATTTAAGCAAGCGTAATATGGTAAATGCTGACTATTTTAATTTTATCATACGGTGTCGTGGGGAAGCAACACACTTTCGAGACTCCAATTTGGCAAAGTATTTGTTTCGGTAAATAATTTAGCTTGGATTGGTGATTTGAACTCTTTTCCCTATTATCAACGTCAATCGTTCTGCTTCGCCACAACCCAAAATGTAAACAGGTTATGTAAAAACACGTGCTTCGAACGCTATTATGATTCAATTATTGTAAATTTTTCGAGGCTTACAGTAGACAAGCGTGACTACCTGCCTCGATCTTGCCGTAGCCTCGTCGGTAAGTTTTGTCCGCGCCGCAGATGGCGTGATTCAACTCCTGTACTTTGTTTGTTTGCGCAATGCGTAGGCGCCAAAATTGACGCGACTCCCTTATCGCAGAAGGATGCCCATCATTCCCAACACACTATAAAAAAATATTAATTGAGAGTAGAAGCAGAAAAGTTGATTCTGACAAATTCGATGTGTGAATGAATAGTTGGGTCAAAATAAGCAATGATAAAAAATGGGTTTAGCCGATCCTTAATAATTCTTTACACTTAATAAGCAATACAAATTGGTAAACGAATATCGTTTACAATGGTTTAATCATTTGAAAAAAACTACACCAATCATGCTTAGCACACGTTTTTAAACACCACCTAAAAGAATTAAGTATCAGGCAAGTAAAATTTCAAAGCTACGAAAATCCGATGAATAAATTTGCGCGTAGGAAAGTTTTCTAATGTTGGTTAGTACCACAATCTTTCTTCAGGGATTAATAAAGCTTAATTTTATTCTACTTCAGATCCCGCTAGTACCTTTGGTCAAATAGTAGATAATCAAGTCGTAAAATGAATTTCGAGACCACCCAAGGACAAAAACAGACTGAATATTTTCGACACTTAAACATTCATTCCCACGTTTTTTTCGTTCTTTCTAATGCAAACAAATTTCCCTTTCCTTTTGCAAGACATTAGCTGATTGTTAGGTTTTTAAGTCCTCATCAAATGCGCATCCCGTGGTGGCGAACACATACGACGCAAATTTCAACAAATCCCATAATTAGATACCTTGTGAATGTCTCCCCATAGTATATCCGAGATGCCACTTACATCTCACCCTAAGCAAAAATTTAACACAGGCAACACAAATCTTGGAATTTAAAGTAGCGCTTACTTTGAGGTCTTTAGGTTGGGATTCTCAACTGTATTAGGGGAGACCAACTAATTAACACTTCGAATAGACAACACAGTCTCTTTCCTCTAGCTTGGTGTCCAGCTACCGCTCAATCGGAATCTCACCTGTTGGCAGCATAAAGGGCATTCCTTAGCTCCTTGAAAAACTACTGTGTTTGATTCCACCTCTTTAGCAGATGAATCAAAATTAACTCAACGCCACAAAGGTTCAGTTGCCCCAAAGTGCAGTAGTTAATTTTTCATATTTCACGATAAGCGAGCATTCGTGACTTACGCGGTCACACTGCACTCGCATGAATGTATGCCAGTCTTCTTAGACAAAATTCATTACAATCTGGGATTTCGCAACGAATTTCTTACGTGCTAAATATGCTGAAATGAAAACAAGTCAAATTGAGCAATTTGTTTTCTTTGTTATTAGAAGCAAGTAGAACAGATTTCGGGTAAAAGTTTGAGTGGAATGCCACCGTACTTAGGAAGTAATGATTATTACAAGTGATTAGAAGTTGCACAAAAGTCCACAGTTGATCTGTCATTCCCATATATGTACAAATCAACAATAAAAATGATAACATTCAAAACATTTTTGCTTTGTGTTCACTTGTCAGCGCCGTCTCGCCGGTCCAAGTTCGAACAAATCACTTGCGTCGACGCGACCAACTCATCCACGGTCGACGCCCAAATAGGTCGTCCCTCCTCCTCCTCCCCCTCCTCCTCCTCCTTCTCTTCACTTTCAGCCAGTGCCTCATTGTCCCCTGTTTTTTTCTGCTCCAAATTATCAAGCAAATTACGTCCGGATGTGTCAGGCAACCATGCTAAGTTCAACATCTCAAGTAAGAGAATGATGACGTATATGATGATGGGAAAACCATGGAACGTCATGGAATCTAGCGAGTTTATAAATGGACAGAGTACACCACCAACTCGACCCAGACCAGCCCCTATTCCGAGACCGAGTGCCCGCGCCTCCGATGGAAAGAGTTCAGGCACATACATGAAAACCATGTTGAAGGCAGCCGATTGGAGGATTAGGGCCAGATTGCAACACACGTTAAGCACGACATCGGACTCGGGTTTTGCCACCAAGTTGTATACAGAGGCACAAGTGAGAACTATACACGTGGAAAGGTACATAAAGGCGATTGGCTTCTTGCGCCTCTTGCAGAAACGATACAAAAGACCAGAAATGATAGTCGCGGGTACTTGAGTCGCAGAGTTAAGGAAATTAACTAAGTATATGTTAGAGCGTATCGAGCTACCGTAGAATATTAGGCCAAAAGTTGTCGCAAGTTGGCCCGAAAACAAGAGAACGCACTGAGCCGTTATCCGCACTATCCGTTTGTTGATGAATGTCTTAAGCATCTGCCTGAATTGAGACTGGTGTGAAGAGTTGGCAGTAGGCTTCTGTGGTGCCTTACTTTCGCCTCTTTTTAGCGTCCGAGCCTCATCCTGGATTTTCCGTACAAACTGTTGTTCGGTTACTAAGGTTTCTTTTTCTTTGCACATCCGCAATCGTTGGTTGACACGATAGACTTTGTACAGTTCGTGCAAGGCATCCGACTTCCTCTGTTGCGATACGAGCCACCGTGGAGACTCGGGGAAAAAGAATATTGTAGGGAAGCTTAAAAATGTGTTAAACGAGATCGCACCATGCAGCCAACGCCAGTTTTGAAACCAAAAGGCAAGTGGAGAGAGCAATGCTCTTAACAAAAAGCCTTGGATAAGTGACCAAAGTCCGTTAACAAGAGACCGTTGGTGGGCTGTTGTCAGCTCCATACAAAGGACAAGAAGAACCGCAACTTTCATTGAAGTGGAGAAGGCCAAGAGAACACGAAAGAGGATGTATAGCCCAAAAAACGGCGACAATGAGACAGCTATAGCGGTTAGTCCCTCAAGAATACAGGCGAAAAGAGCGGTCAATCGGCGACCGAAATGATCACCAGCCATTCCTCCAAGGATAAACCCAAAAAGCATACCCCCCATATACATTGAGGTGCTGAATGGGGCCTTCCACGCTTGATCGCACACAAGGTCCCATTCGACCACTATTCCACCAGGATATTGGTCGGGTGTATACTTGTAAACGTAACCATTGTCACATGGAAGAGTCTCAGGCTGGGTTATAACTGAGTTTAGTGATGCTAGTGGGGTCCGATATCTTTCACAGCCAAACCTGCCTCCATGTACTGGAATTGATGTGTTGGATGAAGGCCAAGGTCCGACATGAGAAGCTACGAGGTCAAACAAATCAATGTGTGGATCGGTGGAAACCTTGAATTGTGAGGTGAAGTACTCCTCCATAGTCTGGTTCAGTCGACATCTGTGGGGCAGTTCGGCATTTCCAAAAACGGGGAATATGATGGCAGCCGGCAGGGTTAGAGAGCTAGCAATTACCATGGCAATTTGCACAAATCCTAAATTCCCAGCATGGTGTTTTAGGATGTGGTCAACGTCGACCTTTTGTGTAAATTCTTCTAATTTGTCATTTTTTACAGAGATCTCCTCACCGCTATTTTGATGTTCTTCGGTTTGGCTCGATTTCTCATACGCACCCAGCGCTTCCCCAGAAGGCTGGACGCCCTGAGATTCAGCCATTTTAGAAAAGAAACTAACCATCACTTCATGAACGCGCATTCTTAAAGGGCGTACAAGTTTGCGCGTTCATTGGTTGGTTTTCGGAGGTAATGACCTATTGGCTATAAGCATTTGTGATGCACAACCCTTTGCCGCGATGCACAGGTTTGAACTGTCGTTGCATGTTTTTAAGTAAAAATATAGGGGAGCTGTAGGCATTCAATATCCGACTTGGTTTGTTTTATTTAAGTTGCTTTCTACCATTAAAACAAAGGCCCATAGGTAATGAAGAAAGTTTGCATATGACACAATAAACAGATGATAAAATCCTGCTTCAGTAATTCTGACAATAAAGTAATTTAACGAATCTGATTACAGCCGAGAACTGTCTTATTTTGTCCGGGTTACTAGATTGAAGATGATTGCTTAACTTCCAGCCCCATTTACCGTGACTGCAGCCAAAATTCTCTGAGTGCTCATTACCACTAATTAGATCAATTAATTTCGATTTCCGTTGCATGGTTTTTTCGACCAAATATCTTATCCAACACAGGCAGGAAATCATTAAATTTTGTTTACTCTCTTATGTTTCAATGATGCCTCCATTTTTGTACAGGAAAGGTTTGGACTGGTCGCAGGACACCATATTTGTGCATTACAGAAGTAGAGCAATGAAAGGATGCGGGCTTCATTCGTGATTGTAATTCGTTTATGAAGCATTGGATTTTTTTATAATGGTGACTGCTATCCTCACCTGAGATGCGCTGAAATGACTTGTGAATTTTAAGCCAATGAAAAGCTCTGCTCCAGCACACGAAAAAATTCATTGCTGATCATTGAAGGTGTATCTTATAGGACATGATTATCAGACAGATACCATGGTCCATACTGGCTAAAACAATACAGTTAATCTGACTGATTGATACTTTCTTCAATTAATCCTTTTAGTTTCTGGATGTATAGGTGTTTAGTTTGCCTCCTTAAAGGCATTGCTACCACCATTATATGTTATTCTAAATTTATGGATTCAGGGGCACAAACAAGAAACGCTCATCTATAACTTGACAAAAATGTTTTAACTTCACTGTTTTTGCAGCATTCACTACGAAATCAGGACCTCTCCTGACGATATGAATTAGTCAGGCTTACAAATTTACAAACCACTTAGATCAATTTCCGGGATCCCGCAGGCGAACTTACCAGTTTATATATGTTTGATTACTTGGGATCCTACTTTCACACTCGCACTTGTAAAACCTTAAGACTTGCAAAATATAATTTGCAATCGTGTACAAGCGGCAACTTGATGGTTTGACTATTTCTCCGTCCCACAAAAGTATCCTGAATTAAATAATTTCTTTCAATAGAAATTTGTCAGGATAAGATCTTTTTAAATGCTCTATTTTTTCCTGCTTTTTTCCTTCGCACACTAAACCAATGTGTCATTGTGAATTTACTGGATCCGTCCCCATTACAAATATTGCAAATTTGCTTTTCAGATTATCAGTGTGCATAGCTTCATTAAATTCAGCATAATTTTTGCTTTTGTAGCATAATTTTCGTAAATCCAAGCGATACTATTTACACTATTTGATCAAAAATAGCCACTCATTTGTTGGTTCTACTTTCCAAACCATCAAATGCGGTGCTTTTCTCAGCGTATGAAAATTTCTGCTTCAAAGTCGAAGGCTTTTTCTGTTGACATTTGATTGGCAGCCTAACATGTTGGTTTTCTGTTCATTTTTTAACGGTCACGAGTTCTAATGGTTGTTTTACTGATCTAACTGACTTGTAGATTGCGCAGCAGCGAATTTTTTAATAATCGGCCATGTCTAAAACTCAAAATGCTATCCTGGTTTGACCTAACTGACCTCACAATGCCGTCTTTGTGGAGGAACTAAAGATTTCCAAACAAACATCGCTTAAAATCATTTAGTACAGATCTGGCCATTTGTCACATGTCACTCAAGCAACAACAGTCAACATTGCAGTTTAGACCTTATCATTCACCACAATTGGGAAATTATGACCATGGTGGACGGGCAAATAATAGTTAAGACTTATCACTTAGTAAATGGTGGATGTACACAAACAAACAATTTTACATCTTAAAAATCTTAAATTTGTTAGGTTTATAAAACTCGACGTCTAAAGTTAAAGGTGTAAAAAAGCAATAAGATGAAATCGCAGTTTTACATTTCCTTTGTCGATTGTGCAACCAAAGTCGTAAAAAGCTTCCGTTTCACTATCTACCTTGATTTAAGTATGAAGCAGCGGCATTTCGAAATACCAGAAATCCCTTATCTGAAAGGGCAATAAAATCTCTGTCCAGTGACTACGTTGGGTTGTAACAGCAACGGAATTATCCGAAAACCACTTATTCAGATGAGCCAAAAACTTCAGGAAAACGGGACAATGACAACTGTGGGAAGCCATAGCAGCATCAGGCCCTTTTTAAGCGTTATTGGTATTAGGCAGAACACACCAAAGTCATCCTCTGTTCGAGCTACAATAGGAGAGAGAGATCGCCTTTGACGACCGACCCCGACATCCCACATAATACCCTTCACAGACATGATGTCAATCCACAGTGACTTGAGGTCTGCCCTGGAAATTTGTCACCAGATCCGACGCACAGATAGACGGGTTATACCAATCGGCTGTTTTCTCCCCCTCCTTTCCAGTATTACACGGCTCTACGTTCAACAAGCCTCGAGTAAGCATCAAAATCGTTATAACGCCTAGAGGCAGGCAGGTTTGCATATAAATACCACCACACAACTATTGACTGGTCTTGTTTTCCTGCTCTCATCGGTCGCGCGCTACGCCCAAATGCCCACTGAACAGTGGTCAACAAACCATTAAAACCAACAAGAAACCAAACACTAAATTCGACTTGACTGAGTGTATGGATTCCAAATTTGTAATGTTACTCAAACGGAGGCCTCCGATACCCACCTCCAGGCCCCAAAGTACAACGACACGTGAATAAACCTGTAACATTCGTATAATGTAGCTTAAGATTCACGTGGTGCTTAAATAAATATATTCACCAGTTAGTCAGGTGGCAAATAAGTGTCCCCACTTGAAAGAAAGCGGGCGCTAACAGGTAATTACGAGCAAGAGAATATATATTTGCTCGGTAATTGATGCTAAATAAGGCTCCATGAGTAATATGTACAACAACGTTAACGCTATGGAAGCACTCAGAATTTGAGTCTCTTGCCTCCCGAGTCACCGGCCTCTTCGGCCAATTGCTTCCTTTTATTGATCATCGAAGTGATCTGCTGCAGTTGTCGGTCGACTTGGGCGCGTTCGTTCTTCTGGGTGCCCAGTCGACGGGTCTTGCGCCCCTCGGGTTTTTTCACACCGTACTGGTAGGCGGCCTTGGGCATGGCCTCGAGGCTCGACATGTAGTCGCCGTACTCCTCCTGCGTCTCGAAATCCCACCGCCCAATCGGACCCTTCTTGTTGCCCATGTCCATCTTGCTGAAGTCCGTCTCGTCGTCCGAGTCGCCCATGGCGTCGTAGGACTCCGCGAAGCCCGGATAACACTCGTCATAACCCGAAATCTCTGTCTTCTTCAAAAGGCGTTCAAGAGAGGCCTAGAAATGAAAAGTAAAAGGTTATTTGATTTGCCGAGTCGTGTGGACAAAACCACATCAGGAATTCGAAACGCAGACTGTTGCAGGCCCCGGCGCGTGGTCTTGTACCAAGCTGGGGCCGCTGACTTGAACCAGCTCGTCTACACCACTCAGATACTCGAGAAGACAAAGAGGCCCAAGTCGGTAGAAACGCGACCGTTTACCAGATAGCTCAACCGAGTTGTGTTATTCGCGTGACTGAGGCTAAACACGTGCCTGGCTAAATGAGGCTGTCGATCAATACGGTTTGGATGAACTTGTAAAAGTACAAATGGCTGAAAGGTCGGGTGAACGAATCGGGTGGCGTGGGGTTGGTGCACGCACAGGGGCTCATGAGCAGACGATTTCGCAAAATCGATAGAGACGCTGTGAAAAGGAGGTCAGTGTGGCGCAGACTGCGACGACCGGGTTAGTTGACGCACACCGGCACGAATCGCTACAGGTCGTTTAACAATTCAAATGTGGTGGAGATGGAAGCTTAACATGCACCGAAGTAGCACAAAATGAATTAATCAACATTGAGAAAGGGAAGTAATATCAAAAATAGCACACAGTCATTTTGGCATATCTCTAAAGCGTCTGAAATGGCTTCCGGGATCTCTTAAGTGCCACATTTAAAGTCAGTTGGTGGATTTTCGTTACTACACTACACATTATTTAAACTTTAACTTCAGTAATGCCACAAAGTTTTTCTGTTACAGGAAAAGATGGGCTACAAGAGAAAAACTGAGGAGAGGGGGTCGAATTCACCGAAATGACGAAAATGCATTTAGCCAACAGACAGCACCCCGAAACATCAAAACCAACTCTCCTCTCTTCGGGGTATTTGCACGCTGAAAACTAATCACCAAATGAAAATACGGTGACTCGAAGAGAACTCGAAAACACGCCCAAAGGCTAGGTTAGTTCACTCTTGCAAGAAGGGTCCCGGGGTGAATATAACGAATCGGATCCGCAGCATCACTCCCTTACCAAATATTACCAGGAGGAACTAGCATGCAGAGTCATGAAAACGCTTTCCAGCGCCGGGTTGTACATTTGCCCCAGTTGAGCCTCATATCTTGGGCATAACACAGGCCTGAATAGAGCTGACACTTAACATTCACGAGTTTCTCCATTTGTGCAAATATACCACTACATATGAGAATCACAAATCCACCCAGTTATTCATTCTTTTGAGGTATTATTGGTGTTGACGACTAGAATTTCCGGGTCTAGACCAAATTGATCTCAAACTTGAAAAAAAACAGGGCATCAATTCTAAGGTCGCAAACGAATTGGTGCAATTAGCAAATAAGCTGTAGGTGTGAGATACGGCAAAAAAACTATAGCGTGCTAGTTTTCGAAAGAAATTTTGAGTTCAGATAGCAAAAATTATGAGCTTTTCGTCTGTGCATAAATAGCATGCTACGTGGCGATTACCGCTGTCCGCGTTGTCTATCAAGCCAAACGTAAGTCAAGTACGCGGCAATATTTTTGGCCAAACAGCTTATGATGTGCACATTGCAGTGGCGTGACTATTTCTGCGATTGGGGAGGTCTGTTCGACCAAAACAAACAGTAGATGAGGCCCCGTTCGGCTTTCCGAAGCCTCTTTTTTGTGATTGGACATTGTGTGAGGTTTTTTGACGTCATGGTAACCTAGTTGACTACCTGTCCATCGGCCCTAGAATCTCATGCCCATCGCAAGCGGATTGATGCAAGTTAGCGCAAGAAAAGCCGTAGTGTCATTCGTATCCTGTCGGGACAGAATGAAGTACGTTGAATGCTCATGTCTCTTCACCAGCCCTGGCTAAAGACAGGCCAACACTCCAAAAGGCATTTCCTTACAACCAGTGGTGACCACTGATTGCATTTCCACCTACCTGGTCGTCAGTGGCTTTACCAGCACCGGTGTACTTGGAGGCAAGTTGTTGGACAAAGTCCTTGGTGGCGGAGACGGAACTCTTGACCTCGGTGGGGTCGGTGGCGCTGAAGGGCTTCTCGAAGTAGCGACTGCCGGGCGCCGGCTGCTCGCCGGTCGGTTTGTGTCTGTCCGCCTCGTCGGCGTTGCGGCGGTGTCCGCTCCTGCGACGCTCGTCCTCATCGCCCTTGTGCGAGCGCCGCGACGGCACGTACTCGGACGGAGCATCCTCGAAGATGGCTTAAGGTGGAAAAAAACGCTGAAAGTGACATTATACTTAAGCCAGTGGATAAGACCACTGAGTTGCTAATTAACTGACTACAATATTACCAAAGGAGATCGATTCACTCCCGAAATTGCCAACTTCTTGCAAATACAGATGTGATTTAAGGTGAGAAATTCGAGTAATTGAATTAACCAAAAGCACTGCAAAACCGGCGTAGACAACGAAAAAAGACAGGACAGGGGGCGATGACTCACGCTGAGGCTTCTTTTTAGAGCCCTCATGAGGTCCCGGCTGGATGCCGTACTCCGCAACTCCACCGGTCTTCTGTTTGCTCGACTTGGCTTTTTTCGCCTGCCTTCGACCAACTCGTGTGTACGCAAAAATTTGCGCCAGTTTGTTGATGACTATGTCGTTCGTGGTTAGGTCGGAGCTGCCTGCAGTTGCTTGGTCTAAGAGCGGACAGTCGGCTTTACTCCGAATCACCGTCGCCGGTACCTCAAACTCGGCCAGTTCATCCTCTAACTCAACGCGATATGCCATTCGACCAGGCTGAAAAAACTCATTTCTTTCCACTTTCCCTTGATTGGTTTTAAAGAGTGTCTCGAAAATTCCTGCTGCTAAACGAGTCTTAAATTGCAGTCCACTGTCGCCGGCAGCCTTTGCTTCCCTTCTACCATCCGCAACGGGTTTTTCCAGTTCAGCATCCAACTGCTGTTCGGCTTCTAGCTCCTTCTTCTGCATCTCCCTACGCACCTTCTCAAGCAGAACATAATCCAGACCCTTGACCAAGTGAGTGTGTTGTATGTCACCGCCAAAGTACTTAGACTCCTCGATTGCCCTTCTTCTATCAGCAGCGTGTGAGGCATTGACTGTGGGGGCCACAGCACGATAATCGGCCGTGCGTATGAGGCGATCGTGTTCATCCTCGTGGTCCTCAGCTCCCTCAGTCCCACCATCACCTACGCTCGGGTCAAGACCCTCCATATTACTGGCGATCTTGCCCTCCCGTCGCTCGCGAGCCCTATCGCGATACTTGGGCGCGCCGCTGGTGGCCCCTTCAGCGCCCTCACCGCCTCCACCGCCATCCTCCGTGACCTTCTTTTTGCGATCGTGGCGGTGATAACCGCGTGACTTCTGTTGAGACCTATGGGAATGTGACTTGGGGCGATCAGTACGCCCAAGTGGAACGCTAGCGGTGTTGGAGTCCTTTTGCGATTTGCGAGACCCAGCAGACAGAAGAAGCTTGCGGAAATCGCTATTGGATAATTGTGCAGGCTTAACCACTGGATCCTCTAAAGGTGGGGGTTGAGGGTTAGATATTGCTTCCAGGTGATCCATTTAGTAGCCTAAAAATTAACCGATTGGTGTTATCGCTGGTTACATCAAGAAAGCTAAGTGTAACACTGATGACTTGTCATGATCCAAGACCAAACAATTAACACATGCCAATCATTCGTAGAGTTAATATTAGTAAAAGAAAAGCAGACAAAAACTTGAAAACATTAAGAGTTTTGTGAAACATCACAAGGTAATTAGGTGTGTAGCGTGTTTGACCAGGTTCAGGTACTTGTGATTTGAAAGGCTATAGATTGATTGAAATGGCGTGGAGCATGGAAAGAGGCATTTCTCAAAGACTAAGCATTCGGGTAATCACTGTGATTCTCTGACAATAACACGTCGCCCCTTGTAACAGATGAGTTAAAAATAGAAGATGCTCAATTGGGCTGGAACACAACGGATAGGACATGAGTGTTTAACTTTGACGAGACTAAATTTCGAAAGCATGAAAGCATTTATCCCCAACGCGGCCACCTTTAGGAGTGAGTTAAAAATAGATGGAGAAAGAAGCAATGTGGAACCCGAAATCTACACAGGTGTCATCGAGCGGCTGAAACGAAACGAAGGCCATTAAAAGCCGCTAACAAAGCACTAGAAACAAGAGAACCACCAAGCCAGCGTGGGGACTAGTCGCTAAACACAAAGTTTAATTGGAAAGTATCACAACGATGAAAAGGAATGCCCCCGGTTGCAACATGGAAATTATAAGGATTAGTAGGTGTTTTGTATTATCAACCAAAACCCAAATAACAGTATGTTCAGCAGTAGGATACATATCCTTAGACAGCTGGAACGAGTAATTTTGTTAAATGGTCATGTTCAAATAACATACGAAGCTAGCACAGCTCCTGAATTATAAGCGCCTCTTTTCACTCATTTAGGAAACAATTGACTACGACAGTTTGCAATGACAAAAAAGTTATAATCACATTGCTCAATTGCCACATCGTTTCAGGCTCACTTAGCGATACCAGAGTGCTTCAAGGAAGAAATGTCTACCACTCTTAACTGCATAATACCAAAATTTAGTCGGATGCGGTTGTCGTCCACAGCGCGGTCGAACCCAGCAGATTAATTCTGTGGTACTTCCAATTATTTAGTAGGAAGTAGCTTAGGCTTGGCTCAAAAGTGATTAAACAAACCAACAGTTCAAATTGAGGCTGAGGAGGAAGTATGAAGACGTGATTACACATACATCGACCTCGAAGATGTCACTTCAAATTAGAGCATTCTGATTTGTGTCATTATTTCCAAATTGTTGATACCAATCCACCGAATGGCGCATATAAAAAATGACAATAGACCAACGTTACAAGAATATGCAAAATTGCAGTTCACGAAAGACATCATCAGTGCGGATTTTAGTATTTGTAGAAAGCAAGCCCCTAGAAAAAAGAAAACAGTACGATCTGATACATACTTTTTAAGACCAACTAAGTAACTGTTTTCAGTTATTTCTCCAATGCTGTACAAAAAACTACAAATGTCCAATACAAAGCCCCTAAATTACGGGAAATTCACTACAACAAGCAATATGAATTTACATCAAACTAAGAGGGTTAGAATACTAGTTTAACTTTTTTTACTCAGTGGTTCTAACTACTTCACAAAAGACTAGGAAGCGAATTGACTGCGTGAGGGCGCAATTAACAACACGTATAAACTTACGGGTAGATCGGGAATATTGATAAGGACAATAGTGCTTTTCCTCATCAAGTGAATTATGCTCAGGAATGTATATTATTTAAAGAAAATGATTGTGTATAGTGAAAATATACCGGATAAAGATAAAATACAGTTGGAACTACCTAAAGAAACTTGGTGCGTTTATACAGGATGGAGAAGTATATCCAATTAGATCGTGTCCACTAGTTAAAGTTGCCAAATGATTCAATTGTTTTTCCGTTGGGCACAGAAAACTAATATCACAAGTTCTGGGAAAGCACGAAAAGCGACGATTGGATACTACAGAGACAAGAAAAATGAAGCACACCTACACAGAAACTGGCTGATAAATAAAAAGAATATTAACTGGAAATAATACTGAATTAATAGCATCATTTAAACACAGGCTTTGTGAATGCAGAATTTTAAATAAGTTTAATACATAATTTAGAAGCAAACATTAACATAAACCACCTCTAACTGAAAGAAATCATCCGCAGAATAAGTATCGAAGATGAAAATGAATCAAATCTGCCAGCCGAACCTTAAGCAGACAAGCTTCAGCAATGATAAAGTTGCAAATGTTCCAACTAGTTTAGCACTAGACTAAGATTGAATAAATATTAATGCAGTATCCGCAGCTGAGTGTACAATAGTTATGTTACTGTAATATTGAGTGCACTAGTGTTTTAAAAATTAAATAAGTATCTCACAAGAAAGTGTTAGAAAGTAGTGCAAGTCCTAAAAGCCTTACGCGATAGAGATAAAAACACGAACCAGCGAATTCGAATTTTGCGGATAAATTAATATCAAACAAAACAAGAAAGATGGGAATTAATTATTCATGTGCAGCTACGTAGTTTATTGAGATTTATTTATTATTTTTTTACATTAAGCACACCAAATACATAACTACACATTATTAACGGTTCACATTTCATGTGGTCATGGCAAATTGTTATCCTCCTTGAATACGATTGAAAATGTGACAGCATTTTTTATATCAATACTTTGAAAGGCATGTACATCTGAGATAATAAACTTATGTATTATAATGTTTAATCTAAATGCATTATGCCAATTTGCTTTAAGCATTGCACAAATTGAAATTTGAGTCTTCCGAAAACGATGAACCTTTATTTTGAGCAGTTGGCCATCGCCTAATGCATGCTTCGAGCATATTATACCAAAAGTGCCTATGTCCAGTCAAATCATCATAGATATTTTTAAGAGTTGAGATGATGACAACTATTTGTAGCGAAAATTTACTTGGGCTTTCGCTGCATCAGCTCGCAGTTTGAATTGCGGCTGATACAAATCCTGACATTTTAGGTCTGTTTTTATTATAATTGCTACAAAAAAATAGTGTTTAAGGATGCCGCTTTTCTTCAATTCTTTTTACTTATGTCAGATACGTATACTGCGTAAATTTTGCAGATAATTAAAGCAATGTTTATTTCATTTCATCGTCGCTAGCTTATCTTTTCGAGTGACATAAGCAGTCTTGAGATGATTGCATCTTCTGTGATGTCACAGATGCCAGTAATCAGGAATTGCCACTTTTGAATTGTATTATATATGCATATAATGGGATTCGGATGCAACTACCCATAGTAAGTTACAAAATGGCTCACCCATTCTCTGATGAACTCAGATATCATCATATTAATTCCATTTTTTTATTATTAAGAACTATTGCACGAAACAAACCGTCTAGGCCCGTTTGTGTGAGTTGACTAGCATCTGTCATTAATCTTTTCATGTATTGAAGGATTTCAAGACTTCTCACGGATTTATAAAAGTTAAATGTAACATTTTTTTAAGATAAATGGTATTTTGCATTCAGTTGCTTAGTCGTTTTCATTCCCATAACTCACCTAACGTTCAAGAAGTTTTTGAATTTTGTGAAAGCTGTTTGTCGTCTCTTCAAAGAATTTCAAAGGGTACTTTTTTATTTCGATCACAGCATTAAATTTTACCATTCAGGTTATTTTGCTGAGAACAAACATATGAACAAATGTAGAGGCAAAGTCAAGCGAAGTATTGTCCGTTTTTACTTCCTCGATACTGCAGTGTCCCTTGAGTGGCATGTGGTCTAGGGTTTTCATGATTCAACGTGCATACAATTTTCCAGAGAGAATCGTTTGGCTACGTAAAAGAGGTTTGTTAGTTGTACCCTATTGCAGTACTTTCATATGCATAGCGCCACTTTCATTGGATCTCACATTTCAGCATTGGCCACATATTTTGTTATCCGTGATTTCAGCTTCTTTTTCATATTTTGACATTAACAAATAGTTTTTCATCTCTGGTAAAGATTTAATTCGAAAAATGTTTATCCTGTTGACGAGTAAGGCGAGAAATGAAAACATCTGTTAGTTTACCATGTTTCGTCAAGGTGCGTGAAACTCAACTGTTGAGTGTCGAAGTGCATAAAAATTGCTTTAAGGGGCAAAATGTAGCCGTCTTGTCAACATCAAGTCTCTCTCTCATTCGTTAATTACTCACCAATTCAATTCAAGGACCTCATCCATATTTAAGTTATCCCTTTGAAATCGACTGAATTATTTTTAAGTGTCCTAATACTAGAAGCAATTTTTTACTTCACAACTTTCTGATACAGTTCTAACACAACTCAATTCTTTTAACTTCGTACAATATGCTGTGAGCCTAACACACATGATAAGTTAAATACTTTTTTTAACTTTGGGTGACTTATAGTTAGTAATATATTTAAAAAAGGAACATTAGCAGATTCGAAAGTGCGTGTTACTGCCATCTATGGCAATTAAGCTCGATTTTTTGTAATCACACAATACTACTTGTTTACCTTTTCGCTACCACCGAATTATGGTTTGATACTAAAGTCTGATTCGAAATTATATCATTGTGACCTCAAATCCACTTGTTACCGATACGATGCCACCAAAATTAGCAGAAAATGGCAATTAGTGAACACTGTTTTTAACCAGTGACTTACGTTTCATGATTTATTGATGGTCATATCTTCGTCGATTTGATGATATGACACTTGGAAATTAAAAACAATGCCAGAAACAATGAGTCAACAAATATTTGTGCAAAAATTGCTTGGAAGTGAGATAGCATGACTTGATTTGGTGTCTCGAAGGCTAATACCGTTTTCGTTCGATTTTTGATAACTCCCGCTAGTACATTACATCAACAAACTCGATACTAGCAGCCCATCAGCTACTAACTGTAAGTTTTTCGCCAATAAACAGTACACCATAACTGATCCAACGTTTCGTGTGTGCTTTGAACTGTGTTTTGTTTTACTGCAATATTGTTTCACATATTTGGATATTACCAGCCTACTAAAATCGAATGAATTTCCGAACGCCAAGTCAAGATTTTATTTTTAATTAATGATGAAAATCCCCTACTCACATTCCACAAATTACAGCATGAGCTAAAGCTATGATCAGAAAAAGTTCGCGCATCAGTCCATTGATACACATAATTTCATGGTCGATGATGCAGAACCAACAATTTGTTTGATGTCACCGATGTTGCATTATTGCCACAAGATAGTAGTCTATTGCCTACTCAGTTTTGTATTAGGTCGCTTCAACGACCAATCATCACAAACTTCCTGTTGAGCCGATTTTGCTTCCATGGGGTTGGTGCTTCGGCAAATTGTAACCAAACGAGATCTATGGATGCATGTTGCAGTCTAAGAATATTTGACAGAATTTTGCGTCACTGATATCACAGATGAGAAGCTGTTGGTGAAAATGTAGCTAACTCCAATTCACTTCGAATAAAAGCGAGGTGAAAGAGGTGATGAAAACACCCCATGTGTCGAAAAATCAAGAGAAGTGAGTCATCTTGCATCAAATCATGGGAGCCTTCATCATTCAAAATTATGAATTTCGCTGAAATTGCTATTGTTTGAAAATTTCTTATTATCAATAAACAGTCTTGAACAATGCTATCCAAATAACGCTTCCTTACATTTTTCTTCAAACAAAGTCCCTTGTCCTACAGCTATTTTTACATATCCCAGTCTGAATAAGTTCTGTAAATTAATCAGTAAAATGCAACCCTTAAAAATTTTCAGATTCCAGCGAAAAAAATTGTTTTTTGTCAGAGTAAGAAGAAGGCATTTCAGGCGAAGTGAGTGAGGTTATTCAACTGAGCATCAAGCAGTTCTAGTGTTCGCATTAATTTTAGGTGTCACCCATTGGATTCTATTTCAAAGTCCAACACTTAAGAGTAGCTTGCAATCATCATGAAATGCTTGTGTGCAACATTGAAATTAATTATTTGTTACACATAATTGGTTTACTTGTGTAATCAGTAGCTCATTTATGAGCCCAATTAAAATTACTCACAATTATTCATCTTACTATCCTTCATGAGGACGCTTCTTTGGTGTAGCAATCACAAGATTTCTAGCTAGCCAGCTTCTTCATCATTCTGATAGGCAGTTTTTTAAGGTCGATTCTCAAGCTGCCTGCCCGAACACACAGGAACACCTCATCGTCCTTCATTTCGCCACTATCAACGAAGAAGCGACAATTGCACCCGTTGAAAACGTCAGGTGTTCACACTTACAATGCATGTTGAACAGAGACATCAACTCAGACTATCAGACTGCTGGCCTACCTTTCACATTTTTCTCATTTCCCCAACTGCTAATGCCTAAATTTACCACTCTTATCTATTCTCAAGTTTGTTAACCGGACGTGATTGCGTCTAGTTGCCTAATAATCGAGTGTCTCCGTTGTCTTGGGTCGCGTCCTGCCTTGGCACAGAATTCAAAGCATACACGCACTTGATTTGTTCTTCCTTCCTTTCGCTTGAAAACACTAAACACTACTATAATGAACCCGATCTTGTAGTTCCTTTTTAGGTCCTAACGTAGACTATGAATCACACCTATCTGAGAGAAAATATCCAGGCAAGGCCTCACAGTGAGACACCAGTAAGTCCATCCACGACCCCTAAGTGACTAAATTGGAAAGTTGGAGTTTGCATTTTATAGGGGTGTCATTAATCCAAAAAAGTGCACAAGAGAATAGCAAGGGCACTGGTGCTTGTTGCACATCAAATGGATGAGTCGTTCGATGTACGAGAAATTCACGCAACTTCAAGCAGGAAACGTGTGGTCAGGTGCAAGCACGAGCTCACAGCGAAAGTCTGAACTCAAATAATCAAGAGGCAGGCCCAGATCGTGGTCGTTATGCACCACAAATTTAAATTCAGTAATCCCTGGCAGTGGCAGTTGCATGAACTCTGACGAGGAGTTAAGAAAAAAAGGTATGGGTTGGTAATCAAATATGTCCAAATCTTGCTGTCGATTTATTGCACTCCCGCGTATTGTTCCAAAATAAAGATAAGAATCAGATACATAGATTCTCGGCCATTTGGAGCCGATGCAGTTGAGGTATCTGCCATTACAGCGCATAATGACTTACTGAAAAACCAAATAATGTTCCTCCTGATAGGTATGAAATGATCCTATTATAGTCTGCGATGTCTACTAGTTGAACTTCATAGGTACTTGAGCATGACATGGTGAACAGAAGAACCCCTCCACGAAATTCAGGTCCTTCTTTATTCAGGGACTGGTGAATATCAACGAGTGCTTTGTGTGAGCCTCCAAATTTGATAGAGTTTGCAGTAGCACAAAAAGTAACTGAATTTATCCGACATTTGGCCTGAGTCGCAATCAAGTGTATGCCTTCAACAGGGCTCCTTCAAAAGGTGCTTGTGTGTACTCTACAGCGATTGACACAGTGTCCCCTAGACCTAGTAAATTTATTATTTTGCTTCTGCTTTTACTGCAGAAATATGCATTCGCTCTTTTCTTAATAGCTTCTCGAATGAAGGATTATGTCGTGATGACATGAACGCAAAAAACTGTGGTGCTGAAAATGTAGTTGCCTTCCTCAAAGTGAATGCAAAAAGGTCCAAATGAAATTTAAGCAGCAATGACATGACACGTGGATACAAATTGACAGACTAACATTTAGTAAGCAAGCCCTTAACTACTCTCTCTGGAAGACACTTTAGTCACTTCAGCCTGTTTAATAGTCTTCAATCGCTAAACCTTTTTTAGTTGATTAGCGAGACTAACGATGCCCTTGTGAAACACCCATTGACAACAAACGCCTTAGCAGTAAATCGGTCAGCCCTTTGCAACTAGAGTGAGGGCCCGTTTTGCTTTTACCTATAACCTAGGCAAAACACCTGCTGAACCTAATTGGCCAGACTTACTTCTGTCTAAGGGAGTTAAATTTACTTTAGTAAAACGAAGAAATCGACCTTAATTCGCTAATTTGATTAATACTAGTTTACCGAATCCTTGAAGATGCTAGAAAATCCGTCAACCATTCAGCTAAACCAACTACACAATTGCTAACAGGATCTTTTGCTCTGTGGCATTTTGGGTGGCGTTCTTGCGTAGCAGGAGCGTCATCAGCTTGATTTAGTTTTGACTGGAAGAAGAGTAACTTGTAACCCAGCAGTGATGAGAGACCATGACAAGAGGACAAATAACCTGCGTTCGGTGCCAGTCCCTCAACGCTTTCCTCAGCACGTCCCAGGGAGGAATTGGAGGTGAGTTCACGTTACTCGACCTTAGCTATGAATGTGAACGTTCATCTCCTTGCTCAGTTAGCAGTAAAAATAGCTTGTGAATTTGATTAAGGAAGACAGAGTTGAGACACTACCGGCTAAGCGTAGACACCTCCAATTAAATTTGTCAGTTGACTGTTTTCGACTATGTGGGCGAACAAATTGCGCAACTTGGAAATCTACTATACTTTTGTCTGCAGAAAAAGCGCTAATATAACTGTCGGCGCTAAAAGCAAGTTAGACTCGCGAATTACCATCTGGAAGTGAGTACTGATGGAAATGGACATCGCCGCGGTAACTGGAAAAACGCCCCTCCAAAAACTACTGGCCACCACCATCGTCCAGGTCTCGTAGTGCGCGCAGGGTCTGCAACTACGGTGCACCGAAGACCGCCACCACATCAGCACGAAGTGGTTTTTTTATAGCTCCAATCATCACCATATGATCATGGCCTCACCCCTCGCAGACAAATCGAATTGACTCATCGGGAGACATTGGCCAATGGCTTACGTGAGTCGCATGCACCCGTCGCAGACCGCGACACCACTGCTGTCGCCACCCCGAGTCACCAGCGCCAGACCCGTGCTAATTGCCTCAACGGCGTAATTTGAGGGAAATCCTCGCAATTCGTATTTTCATATTCAGACTGTGCCAATTTTCACTCGGTGAAAATGTATTTATCGATTGAAATAAAACCAGGGTTGTATTCACATGATTGTACACTGGGGAGCTTTACAGACACGAGTAGAATTCTGACGTGTGTTTACAACAGACGTGAGTTTTCTCCGCCAAAAGGAAAAAGGTGACAGAGAGGAAGAACTTAAAACTGTGCGTGTGGAGAGCGGGAGGGGGGTCGGGATAAAAGCGATGGATGGTCGCGTAAAGTTGCAAGGAGAGGGGCTAGACAGGTGCAACCCCGTTGGAAACCACACCACCCGACCGCTGGTGGTCAGGTCGACGAGTGTCTTTGGTGTATACGTTAATAAAAGAACCGGTTTCGTTGAAATGGCCTAAAAGTTAAGTTAAAAGCATTGTAAAATGCATCAAAAGTACACCAACAGGCGGACAATGCCACAAAACGGTCATAATTTGTTTATAAGTAAACATAAACAAAGGGGTCACTTAAATGCTGCGGTCCTTCCACAGATGATGGACGTTGCGAAAATGGCGAAGACACGTGGTAATAGGAAAAACCAGGCTAAGACGACCAATAGCCGTATTTGTACGACCAACTGACAAAAATAGAGCAAATGTTGGCGCGGTTGAACACACATACTCTAAGCAATGATCGGCGAAAAGCGAATGCTGGCGAGTGACTAATTTCTGTCAGACAAACCCACAATTTGGCCGTAGACCGACCTGGAGAGGATTTATGACACCAATTAACGCACGGAAAAGCCAAAATCGCACGAAGCGGTGCTATTCGCTTGGAGTGACGAGAGCCTACCTCCTTTTAAGGCGGTAATAAGGCGAAACCTGGTAAACCACAGCTGCAAAATCGACCCAACTACTGAAGTTAGCGTGCAATATGAAAAATTATGTAGTAACTAAGTAGACCATGAACAAGGATTTGAAAAAAAGTGTATCAAGGAATTTTGATAAAGCTGTCACAAGGACCCTGGCAGAGGTAATTTATCATAGAAAAAATTAAAAAATTCCCGAATACAATGAATCCCATCTGACTGGGGCTACGAAATCAACACCAAACGCCAAAAATGTAACACGCCATTCGCTAAAAGACAACTTTATAGGGCAAATAATAAAATCCACTTCGATGCGAGAAGGGGTCGTAGAAACTTACTGACTGACAAATTGACGAACAAGTTCGCCTACCTGTGTGCGCTTGGTTGGCACTTGGGACGAAAGTTGCGGAGCCACCCGCTTACCACCTACCAGATCGATATGCGCATTACCGTCAAGCATGGACTGCGTAAACGTTTTGGACGGGAGATGCAAACGCGATTTGAGGTCGCTCGCATAATTAAGGAAGGGCTTTCACGGAGAATACCAACGCAACACTACAGACACCTACGAGTTTCAGTCTAATAAACCGCGGATTCGCGAAATCGCAAGGTGTCTGAACGGCGTAAATAGTTTGTGCACAAGTAACGCCCGCTTACAAGATTTGAAAGAAAGGCATGTTTAATAAAATAATTCCTCGTGAGCATAAACCCCTTGAAATTGGTACAAATTGGCTGTGACATCTATAATGCAATCAGTAACAAAATTTCAATAAAATCTTACTACATTAGTTATAATGAGTAATTAATAGGTTTTAGGTGGAGATAGCCTTTACCTGATCATTGACATACTAATCTTGACAAAACGTGTCATTAGAAGAGGGAGAATGAATGTACTTAAAAAGAACCTAGGGTTGGTGACATTTAGATACTCTGCAAACTTAACCGGTGATAGTACCGATTAATGAAGGAACGGCCTGGTTTTAACCGAGAATTCTTCACTGGGTTGCGGAGAAGCCGTGGTGCCGAGTTGGCTCCTCTAGTAACTGCTTACATATGCTATGATCATAAGATTCATTTCATGAATCTACGAAGTACTAACATACGATAGCGGTTAGTCCCATAAAGAGGTGACCGCATGTTTTTTTCAATTAATTCCCAATATCGCAGTAAATTGTTGATGTCGGAAGCTTGTGGATCAACATGTGCATGAAATACATTTTAGCGTGTAACTGGTTTCACTTGCTAGCTAATAGTAACCAACTTGGCCATAATTTTGCATACATCGTAAAGGAATTGTCAAATTTGCCGTGATCAGAAGTACACCACATGTATCGGTTCCAACTCCGTTAAGGTCACTAAAAAGGAACAGATACCTCTAGGGTTGAGTACGAGACTAGAGTATATTTTAAATCAGGGCGATTTCAAGAAAGGGGTGGGATCGGAGGACAACTCTAACCTGCCCACGATTTCGACCAATCCTACAAATAAGCTGACTGCAGCATTCACGCCAACCAATGAGGTTTTGCGAGATGCGAGGTAGCGCATGGAGAACAGGGTGCTGCCGCTAAGTTGGAATGCAATCAATGGTAATCCCTGGCGTTAAATTTTACAATATCTGGTTCTTTCTTTTTTTTTCTGAGGTGGAACTGAGTAATATCAGTACTTAAGAGGAATCCTGACATGTAAATTGCATGATTTACACATCGCGTTGTGCACATAAACCAGGCGTAACTGTAGCACGCTGCCAACGATGCAGGCGATCGACATGGCTGGCTTAAAAATTAACAAGGATGGTGAAGCTATGCATTGGCGATGTACTGAAAAGTAATCACTTATACATTCAAAAGAAAAGAGTGTTATCAGATCGTAGTTGGGTTTCATCTACGTATGGCTGGTTAAGTACCCTTAAGCACGTTTGAATTAGTTTCGGACAGTTACTACTGCTGACTTTTTTACACTTCCTGTCGGTTTAAGATCCACACATCTGAGATGTTTAAAATTCACCCTTACGAAAGTAACTCCTGATGTTAGGAGTGAAAAGTTATTTCTTTGCCATGGCTTTCAATCTCGCGTTCCTGATAAAACACACCAATCCCATACATGTGTGGGGAACTGAGTCTGGTGACTCATTCATTCACAGGCCAGTAGAATCACGCAAATCCCCCCCCCCTTTGGTCGCCGGCTCTCTGCTCCTACCAAACCCTCTGCGTAGGCGTAAATAGACGTCCTAACGGTGTTAACCGAAGACCTTCACACCACTGCCAACTGTGAGACGGGATTATTGGACGTGATATGGAGATCGTGACACCAATGCCTAGGTAACAATTCTAGTCAATATTCCCGTGGATTAAATAGTTGAAAACATACACAAAAACACGCTACAAAGCTATGGGAATTAAACATCATGGGAAAAACGACTACTTTGTTTGGTTAGCAGTCGTATTTGGAGAGGCAGATAAGAAAATATGTAAAAAAAATAACCACGTAGCAGAAATGGGGATTCCGTTCCTAATGACATTTAGTGAGGCAATATCAAATAACAGCACACACACATTTGCATAGACATCGCAGTGGGAAAAGCGAGTACAGAGGGAACTGATTGGTTAGGAGCGCCAGGACCACGAACACTCGGGCAGCAATGGGTAACATGCGGAAACGAGAGATGCAACCGCACGCGTCCCAAGCAGGGAGGAATGCGCTGCAATTCACCCCGATAATCAAGATGGCCCCTACCGCTATGAACTGCATTCGGAAAGTGTCGGCCATAAAATCGGGAGTGGAAGGTCTGTGAAGCAAATGCCTCCTGGCAGCTAATTTATGCACCGAGGTAGTAAAGCAGCGTTAAGTGAGGGAGAATCCCTCAACCCCAGACCATTCTATACACCTTGGTTAAACAATGCTTGTCACCTGGGCCCTATTTCGACAAACCCACCGAGACCGACTTACATGAAACCAAAAAAAGCAGCTCAGAAACTCAAACCCGGTAAAAAATGTTAGGCTGTCATAGAGAAATATCTACTGGACGAACAAATTGGGAAGGACGCTCAACAAATGCTCTAAATCAGAAAAACAATGAGATGGATAAAAGCAGCACGGATCCATCCCACAATGGTTTGAAACACTAGCATAGGTTGTATTCGAAGCACAGCGGATGACTTCTGTTCAAAACTGACGATGTTCAGTTTTGCTGAGTGTAACCACGGAAGTGTTCATCAATAAGTCGTCCCATGAAGGAATGCTGAAGAGGTTGCAGGATATAATTCCGGACGGAAGAAACACATTAGTCATGAGCGAGCTCACAAAAAAATTGTGGTCAGTCCACCTGAGGCGTCTCTAAAACTTGGGTCTGAGCAAAACGATACTAAGCATCTGCTGGAATTCAGTTGTCCTAATTATCTCAAATTTGCCGTAAACCCCACACGATGCCTGCCAAAGACAAATCACAATAATTTCAGCAGCTGCTTGGCCCACGACCAGCAAAGGAGGATCTGCACATGGTTGCGCATCTCACACTAGGGCTTCTGGTGTAGCCTAAAGGCGTGGACGTAGGCCCGGCATTGTTTACGCCAAACGCACGAGAGGGTTTGGAGCACACAGAAGCGGGTCCACATGCGCCAAGTGCGCGTCGCGTCTGCAAACAATGCGAAATGACTCAGTTTAGAAACATCACAGGTGATTAATCACTGCCCTCTCGAATCATCACACACGCATGAGGCCAGCCGCACCAAGCAGGTGGGTAACTCCAGCTCGTTGTCTTGTTTCCTGGGCGGACTGGCGTCGCTAGCGTAACGTAAATCGTGCCGAGTAGAAAGGTGCCATGTGGGTCGTAACGCAGAAGGCTCCACTGATTTTGTGCAATCCAGCATGTTTCCTTTGACAAGAAAGTGAAGGGACAGGAAAATAAGCTGGCAAACACCTTTAATTACACCTGACATGTGTCGAAAACGAACATGTTACACCTATGTCGGGCATGAGAACGCTCAATCCGAGACGCAACGATTTGTACAAAATGGTGGCAATTACTAGAAAAAAAAATTGAAGAATGTGGTTTCAAAGGACACACACAGGAACAGATAAGAACAACCCGTGGAAAAGAAGGCGGTGAAAGCATTGTTTGTGCTTCGGAGAGGGCATTTTTGGCAGCGTGTTACCAACTGAAGAGATAACTTGAAGATAGTTGACGGGCAAAGGGTCAATGAACACGAAGAGTGAGGGAGGATCTTAAGTCTCACAGCAATAAGCGTGATCGAGATTGTTATTCAAAGTAAATGGCTCGTGTCTGCCGATCAATGGCGAATGTATTCGAACCACTTCTAATTCCATCGATTTGTTGGCAGTATCCTGCGGTGGGGATGAGGTCAGTGGGACAGGCAGAGACGCAGTGAGTAATTAGTGTCGCAAATTACCTGGCGGTCAACAAACGCCAACTTTCGATTGTGGCAATCAATAAAATGAGAGTCGGCGCGCGTAATTTAAAATCCACCTTCATTCGTACCGACAACAGGGTCACTCCAATCGCGCAACGTCATAGGCATCTCACTCGCAGAGTTCCACTCACTGTTTTAGTGCCTTGACGTTGTTCAGAATTGTTAGATGACGTGAGTAAATGCAACTGGTGCAAATGCCACGGTAGTTTCCGTCAACTGCTTGCATCCACACAGCGAGACTTTCCAAACAGGGCGCCCGCCATTCGGTGGCGTGCTGTTAGACCTGTTCTACGAGTTCGAGTGCATACAACAAAATTGCTAGGGTTTACTTATCGCAACCTGTTAGTAGTATAGAATGCAGAAAGTTGGCACTGCAACCGAAAATATAAGGTGTGAGACAGGTGACACCAGAAGCCGAGTTTTCTGCTAACAGAGAAGAGAAGCGCGATCACGCACACACAGACATCCAGTCCACTCAGAATAAACACGGGCGAAGTACGGTGGGCGGAAGCGAGTGTAGAAGAATTTGTGGCTGCCACATCGCCGCACTTCATACACTATGACTAAGGCAACGACAAAAACCACCTTCTCGGGAATGATGGTTACGATAAGACCAGTACGAACCGACACAAGGCAGAGAACTGGCAGAATGAGCTCGTTCTACCGCATATTGCATCGCAGCCCCAAACGCACCGACAAAAAAGCCCGCCGCCTAGGCGAAAATAGATTGCGGGAGGGCAATGGCAATGAGACAACGCGCCATCGACCACTGCAACAAATATCGTGTTCGGTTTTCTGGGAAAAAAATTCCACCATAACCGATCTTCGCAACAGAAACGGGTTTTTGGAATACTTCTGTTATGTAATGTTTGTAGGTGCAAAGTGGGCGAATGAAAAACGATGTGAACACAAGAGTGATGTTCTCCATTAACGTGCTAAGATGACTAAAAGTCATATTTTAATACACAATTATTTAACCGACAATAGTGATTCTAGTGGTAAGTGGCTGAACAATCAGTAAAAGCTAAGAGACGAACAGATCTTCTCAGCGAAAACAGGTCCAACAACTTTCAGCTTAAAATCACAGCATGACAATAAAAACTGAAGATGGATAGGAAGTGGTGCTTTTTGATGGAAGCCTCAACATTATTTGCTGGTGTTTTATGGGATAAATTATATAACTAGAGACATCTTTGTTACCTTTCCGCATTTTAGTGCCGATACCTGAAAGAAGGCTACTTTAAAAACCAAAGAACCACTACGGCCGATCAATAAGTGGAGCCTTCAGAGTATTCCGTAATTAGACTGCCTAACAACGACTGCTAATTCGGGTAGATTGTAATTAAATCAGCCAATGAAATGAATTATAATGACCATAGGACGGTCATTGTCGTGGCAATAGAGGAACTGATTCTGTAGACAAGAGAGCATAAGAAAGCCGGTAAAAAGCCGATAAATCACGGGTCATGTGGCATGGCAAAGCTTTTGTATGGTAACATAAAGTAGCAAGACAACCAAATAATCACAATTACGAAAAACAGCATTTGGGGGTTTGCTCAGTACAATATCAGTTTGGAATAATGGTTTTGCTATTTTGGCGTGGGTCTTCACAAGTCAAACTCAGATTGACTACAAATCGGATGATCACATTTTGTGAATTAGTAGGTTACGAAGACGAGAGGTTTCACACCTTGGGTTCGGTGGCAAATCCGTCCGTCCCGCGGTGAGAACGAAGATGACAATAGTTGCTGTGGTGATGGTTGCGTGCGGAGACTAAGGTCATAGTGACTACACATTTCACAAGGTCACTGCTGTGGAGATGTGCGCTCTCGCGCAAGTCAACCACAACGGATTTGGGTTAGGAAGTTAGCCTGATGTGATTTATAAGGACTCAACGATGACTGCAGAACTCACCTATTAAATTGCTGATATTACTGCTGTTACTACACGAATCGTTCAAACAACTGTGCCTTCAAACTACGCCATGGAGTAAAGACGAGATCACGTCAGTTGGTTGAACTAAACTAAGGAAGGCCACTACTTTGGGGGGCTTTCCACACGCATCCTCGCCCTGTGAGTCACCCGCGCGCGGTCAAGGTGACCGTCGTGTATAATGAGTCATCGACGTGCTAGAGCGCGGGTATTCACACAATTAGAACACGTCTTGCGCTTCCCAAATATGGCTGGGACGGTTGTCCGGTCTGGCTAGTCGCTTCACATTAAACTTGATGGATTTGGGTTCAAACAAGAGAGCAAACGTGTATCCACACAAAGCATGACCTGACCGTGAGAAGACAACGAGGTTTTTACGTAACTAACTCCAAAAGGCCGTATACTCTTGATTAACATGGTATCAATGTACAGATTGAATAGGGAAAGCGACTTTTCGTGAACACTACAGCTTTCAACCCCTCCATATTTTTAGGAGGGAGACATTTCTGTATGACAGTAGATTAGACGATGCCCAAGCACAAAACTCCGATGCCTGTTTTCAGATCTGCAGAAGGCCAGTAGAATCGGATGGACACCACGACTACGACTTAAGAGACATGCACGGCGACTCGGGAAGCTGTTTAACCCACAAATAATAGGAGGGAATGCTGTCCATGTAGCACAAGTGCTACCTCTCACAAGCACCAAGTCAGATTATCAATTTGAAAAAAAAATGGTGCACAACACGTCAGGCTTCTAATGCCGACTTTATTGCAGCGTTCACGCTACTTCGCTTCTGGACATGGTCAAAGCTTTAAAGTAAAAAAACTTGGTAAATAGCAGGTAGGGAGATCGAATTACGAAAGCCTGTAGACTTAACGAACTGAAATTTGATGTGGGCGGGTGACACAGCCATAGAAGGGCGGAGATAAATGGGAGGCAGTCGGTGTTGATTTGGGTGTGCGTCCGATGTAATTGCATTTGCACCACAACTCTAACTTGAATGGACAAATCTACCCTAGACGATAACCGACACGAAGAACTCATTGCAGCGAAGAAAGCAACAAGCGTCCAGCGTGGTGAGGTTACGCCAACACCAAATTACGCTGCCATGAAAGGGTGAGAATGCTGGAGTACCTCGTCGGTGAAGTGCTACGTCGCAAAAGACAATCAAGGTGAGTTCAGCTAATACGCGAAGGCGTGTACTCCCAGAAAATAGGGGATGGTGATGTAGACAACCGAAAAGGTTGAACTAATCGTGCTCAGATGTTTGATAAAGTCAAGGGAAGATTTGCGGTTAAAAAATCAGGCGAGTAGGGCGGGATAACCGCAAATTGGGAAAGATGGGAGGCTTACCAGGATCTGTGCCATAAAACTCGAGTTCACCTTCATCTTCGCTCCCAACTTCCTGGAATGCATCCTCGAGAGATTGATTGCAGCCAAGAACCGGTGGTTCGTCGCTGAAGTGCGCAGAAAGTTATGCATGGGGAAAGTTTGGAATTTCCACAAAACACACTACAATTACAACATCGCCTGCCAACACCCCAGTGACTTAACTGTGGCGAGAACGGACCGCCAAGAAATTGACGATGGTATTAATAGCCGTAACACTGGTTAACGTGATCGTTAAATCTTTCGGAAGGTACACAGTGTTCAAAAAATTGTTAAGCAAAGTGTGGGGACGCTACCCCAAAAGTAATTGTCTTGCACCAACAAATAACTAGATTGATCCTAACTACGCGTGTGGATCTGTGCTACTAGCTAGTGTACTTATCCTCTAAAACGAAAATGAATCGACAACATGAGAGGGATTTCGGTGAAATCAATCACGAGTGACAACATTAACCATTTGAGTACATTGACTCTCTGGTCATGAACACAATGACAGGCTAACAGCAGTTGACATACCATCGTTCGTAGTCCTGGAAAGCAGCTCGGTCACGAAACTCCTTCTCCGGATCGTTTCCACGAACCAGTTCTTCGCGTTCAACTAGATAAACGCAACCGAATAGGCTATTTGGCACGTTAAACTGATCAATAGGTAGGCGATTTCGACGCAATGGAAAGATAATAGTTTATGATATCAGAATGAGGGCATTACAACGCGCACCAATTTCGAAAAGGTTAATGAAATGAAACCTACTATGAGGACTACTAAAATGGCAAACGTGGATTGTAAAGATTTGTAATCAACTGATTACATTTGGATTGCAAAGAACGGCGGGATATTATGAGAGATGACTGTTGCTTAAATGTAGCTGTGGGGGAAACTGTCGAGTCGCCGGTAATTCTACATGTGAAAATCGAAAACCCCAAATGAGCAGCAAAAGTGAAGGAGGCAGTGTTCATACATGTAAGCCTCCCACGAATAGCCAAAAGTACGGGTGGCCAACTCACGCATGTAGGTTTTGCCCTTGTTGCGCATTACGATGCAGACAGCGAGAACTGCGACGATCAGCAAAATCAGAACGGCGATGACCACTGCGACAATCCATGAGATGCTGGCCACGTTGACTAGGTAAAAACAAAACGATCAGTAGTTGATATTAACTTTCAAAAAAGAGGGCCGTGAGGGGAAGACGGATGAGTCAGTCGTGTGTCACACGAGGGGGGGAGCCGGATAGGAGAGTAGATTCAGCTGGGCGGGCACCACTCGCACACTAGGATAGTGGGAAGACACTACAAATTGGTGAGTGAGACCGGGCAATAAGTCGTCTTAGCCAGGAGCATTAATAACCGAACTGGAGCGCGATAAGGCGAGTGGTTTAAATGAAATGCCTTTAACCACAAAATGGGGTTATTTTAAATAACTAGATTTAGATTACCTGATTGTTATTCAAATAAAATGAAAAGGCAGGCAATGAATACGAGTGCTATTAGCGCTTTTACCCTAGGCGATCTCACGCTCACATTTGCAAACGGCCAAGCTTCGGATATAATTACTCTGTAACCAACTTCAACATAGTGTTCATTCACTTAATCTAATTATGCCAAATTAAACAATGCCGAATTCTCTTTTTAGAAAAATGCACAAAAGGGACAACGTGCGAGTAGAGGCAGTTGGACAAGAATAAACAGACATCCGGAAGCAGAAAGTTATGTCGCTGTGACTTGAGACGCGTTTAAGCATTACAACCAAGCACAAGTTGTACGAATGACAGAAACACTTGTAACTCGTTTGTTAAACAGCACGGCACAGAGCATAAACTAGTCGGAGGTAGTAAACTAGAAAAAGGAAAAAAAATGAATCAACACCAATGATAAACATGCAAGATTTCGCCAACCCATTATCGAAATCAAGAGATGGTATCTAGCATCTAAAAAGTCACTTATTTCAAAATGAACGCTTATTCATTTTGACCAAGCAGTTCAACTTGGGTCGGTGAATACAACGGAGGAAAGAAGAATTTAACCAGCCCTCTGATAAATGGCCTTTAGAAACATCCAACTTATTTGTTGACAGGAGAAACTTCAGGGACATTGCGATGTCATAAACCATTGGAAAAACAACCAATCACGCGAGGATGAGTCAGGTGGCCGGAGGAAATGGCCGCGGATGTGTGGGCACAAACAGGGGGTGGGCGGGAAACCGGTCGTGTGTGATTGACTAACGCACACACACACACACACACACACACACGGGCATGAACACGCACAAGCCAAACGCTGAGAGCGCCGGTCGCGAGCTTAGACCAGGCTTGGCATCTGTCGCGAACGGGAGGAGGGCTAGAGAGCAAACGTTTTGGCGTAGACGGTAGCACGGGAGGCCGCTGCAACTAAATTGTGGATGATACGACTGTGATTTCCCAAACAACATTCATTGTATAATTTGCTTTAATGATTGACCTACGGGGACATCCAATCAATTTTACTGACTGTGGTTTGGACCCCAACCTTGAGGTGACGATGAAATAGTCTTTTTACTCGGTCGATCGCACACCAATAAATCGCATTTCCGTCTCGAAAATGCCAAAGACAGGTCTGATATTTGCACAAGCAAATGGCGATTTCTCCCAATGCATTACACAAAAGTCCTTGCAAACTAGGAGCCGACTTTCCTACATTAAAGTGGTACAGGTTCCAAGAGTTACAAATGTCAAGCCAACTAAGATATTCATTAAATTAACGCACGGTGAACTATCCAAGGCATTGGTCGTTAGGCGAAAAGACGCTAGGAACTTGAGTGTTGAGAATTTCCGGTGCCAGCGGCATAAAATCAATTTCAGCTAAGGAGAGACGATACTCAACGAGAGGACACCTAATGACACCTTAACAAGGCAAGGGGGTGCTTGAAACGCTGGAGATCAGTAAAGCGTTACCTGACGGAAAAAAACTCGCCACGAACGAGGCGGATGATCGTAAGGGAACAAAATCAAAGACCAATAAGATATATTTTAAGAGGACGTGGCCAATCTGGCCTAATAGATACAGAGGGTATGCACTATCCAATTCATTCTAAATGAAGGCCTATGAGTCAGAAGAGCGGCAAGATGTGGCCAAGTTAACGATGGGTAGTTTTCGGGGCGCCAACAAATAAGACTTACAGCTGCCTGCTGGCAGAGTCAACGAAAACCAGTACGCTGCTGCGTAGTGCACACGCCTTTTCAAAGTTCAACCAGGTCGGCAATTAGTAAGAACCGCCCCAACATTACAGAAGATGGCAGTAAAACCTAGAATTCTGACAGCGATTTTGAGGATACCAATTCACTACAAATGCAATTTACTTCACAATGCTTTCAAGAATTTGAAATATCAGCACATAGAAAACAAGGATAGTGAATTTAATGATGCGAAATGGGCTTTGCGAACAAACCAGACAGGCAAATCAGCTAACTATACCACATTCACTAAATATCAACAAAGACCTGAATACTGTAGAAAAGTGGTGGTTTAGGGGGAGAGCTTACCGACGTTGCAGCAGGCCGTCGCATGCGTGCCAAAGGAATTTTAAACTATGAGCAACACAAGCACATTAGCATAGAAATGGTGAGAAAATTGAGGTACTGCGAGAAGTGCAAATGAAATATGCTGCTGTAGCGTGGTGTCCACGTTGCCGGGCCTAATACCCGGTTGTTAGTTTCAACGTAAGAAAGGAACAAAGTGGCTGACAACGCATCCACAAAATGAAGACACTAGCTTAGGTTTCGTTGGCCGATACACCATCTAATCATTGCGACATTGAAATCGGTGACGATTGCAATGCCAGCATAGACAATAACATCTACAGGTAATTTCCAAGTTAAAAAAGTGTCCAACTGAATTGCCATGACTCATTTTTTACTCCCTTTATGCACAGAGAAGAGGAAAAGCGGTCAGGTTAAAGGAAGTAGAAAGAGCAAAATATTGATGGTTGCAAATGTGCGTGTCTAATATCTTCCATTTAAGTCAAACATTATAGGGCCAACTGTATGAATAATCTTATAGCTTCAGAATATATTTTCATATAAAGAACATTGAGGGAGGTGTTGGGCAAAAAGCGCATGAGACGGTAGAAAAACATACCTATTTTTAAGCTAGAAGGGTACTTTCGAATGTGCGCGGTAAGCATCCCGTGAAGATTGGGATCGCTTTTGGTATCGTACAATGGTGTCTCGTACATGTGACCGGCAAACAGCTCAGTCTCCGGGCCAAAAACACGGAAACGACAGCTCAAGTCAACATTGGCGAAGAGTTCGTCAAAGTCCGAATCACCCTGGACGATGTTCAAGACGACCTAGATCCACAAAAATTGCAATAAATGGCTCCTCTGCGATGAAGACACACACACACACACAGAGGGATGTTTGCTAACCTCACGGCTAGAGTGGTTCAAAAAGGTGAGTCGGTTGTCGCGCGGATCCAGACGCTCAAGGTCTTGGCCATCCAGTTCCCATGTTTTGACCACCCGCAGTCCAGAGTAGGGAGCCAATTCAATGTCGCAGTAGAAGCGGTGAGTAGTGTGATTGAAGCAGTCCTCCACACAACTGTATTCAGACAGCTGGTGCAACACCTCTGGCACCGCTACAAAGCACACACGTTTACACAAAGAGGCTCAAACTATTTAGTCGGTCTTGTTAGATTGATGACAAAACACTTGATAAGCCGCGAGAACACCGGCAAGCCCACTATAGGTAAACAGCAAGCAAGAATAAGTGACACCCAGCTGAGTACCAGCGTCCATCATTCGACATTATGGGCCGCATTAAGTAGACGAATGTTTCAACCTATTTATAGTAGAGGCTGACTAGGGAATATGCACGCCTAGGCCATGCTTACGTAGCACCCGAATGAGGGTGTTGGTGCGCACAGAACCGAGGGAGTTGGCGGCCACCATGGTGACCGTGTGGGAAGCACCGTAAGGTGAATTCGGCGTGAAGGCGAGGTCCCGAACGGTGTAGCGAATCGACGACTCCGAAGGGAATTCGATCTCAGGATTGAGTTCTCCAATGTAGGGGAAGGAGTCTCGTAACAAGCGCAGTGATTCACGGTAATTGGAAGCGGACAATGTGTCGATCGGTATGCCATTAATGAAGACGGACTGTGAAGATACAAAATGTCCACATTACGATCACACTAAGGACATGAGCAAACCAAAGGTAAGGAATGAAGTCGTTTACATCGCTAATTAAGCTGTTAGACCCATGAAAAATGATGGTTCAGACCAGAAGGGGATTTTAATTCGGCGATTAGGAAGTAAGCCCCTTGCAAAATCATTACTTTAAACAAACCCATAATTATGAAAATATTTATTAGTAAATGTGACATCCGAAACTATGAAAGGAAACAAATTTTCGACTTATCGAAAAGAGTGATGACAAGAAACAGATGATTCTTTTGCACCGTCATATTACAAGGGAGGTAAATTGCGATTTAATCAATAGGTAATAGTAAACATACTCTGGATGTAATGTGACCATCAAATTCAGCGGTCAACTGGGCCTGGTGACCTTGGAGCACAAAGACATCGCGCGGTGGATCCTGTTTGATTACTGGCGGTTGTTCGACTAGGACCTCATATTTGAAGCGAAGAGTTTCATACGGGGTTTTAAGGGACAACACATAGGTGCCTAGAATAATGAGTGGTGAAAACAGGGATTACTTCAAACACACCACAAGAAAATATGTCGCATTACTGTAAAACAATTGACGAACCAGCATAAGATGGCTTAATGTCTTGAGGAAACGTCAATGAGTGGCGGCTCCCTGTAATCTGTAGTGGAAGGGGGCCCTCATCTTTTGTCCATTTCGCAGTAACAATTTTAGGGTTCGCAGTGTATAGGGCGTTCAAAGTTATGGCATCACGGGCATGCTAAAACATAACAAAAGTGAGGAAAGGACCTAGAAACCCAACGGACAGCAACTGGACTAGCACATACCCATCCGCTTCGAAGAGTGACGCGGTCATACTGAGGTGAGTGTGGGATTATTTGATTTGGATAACTGCCTGTTATGAATGTAAAGGGAGCTGGCTTTCCATCGTTGTTCTGGAAGTACGCAGAAAAGACCATATTCCGTATAAAAGAACTAATACAGAGGATGCCTATAGGGCGCCAGTCTTTTGCCAATTCGTGTATGATAAGTGTTCCTGAAATAAAACGAACTTATAAAGAATGGTCGACACAACTCTCCAATTAGGAGTGCTATTTACCATTCGGAAGGACTGTGTGGTCAAAATAGGATACAATCGGTTCCGACCGATCATAACACTTGCGTAGTTCTAGTTGACTGTCGACGTCTGCCTCGCACACAACCCAGTCATAGGGGACCCGGAATGTTTGCTTGGCCCAGGCGGGCAAATCGACAGGATAGATTGGGTTTCCGCATTCAAGTGATAAGGGAAAATGACTCCCAACTATGGGGTCAAGAAGAACAGGATCGAGTGGCTTTCGCTTACTGAAAGCTAAGGAAATAAAGCGTTGTGAGAACAGTACGGATATACAAAGTATGGATAAACTGATATTGGAATCCCCTCTGACATGATACTAGTTCAGCAGAGTATAAATAAAAACAAATAAAACGCCACTTTTAGTAATTAAATATTAATTAATAGAGAAACTAAAATACAACACCAACATTAAACTTATAAGACAACAAACTAAGCAATAGTGTTATGAGCTGACTTACCAGCGACATAGGAATCCAAGTCCTGTACCTCAATCATGTTAGACTGGATAACACCATTGCTATTCCCAAGACGGCAAAAATATGTTGCGTCTAAAGGGAAGTTATCTCGAACCCAATTCGAAGTAAAGACGTAACCTAAGATATACCATGAGAGTGAAATTACAGCCAATACTAACCGGTGTAAACATCCCCAGAGGATTTGAATTTGTATTTTTCAGGAAGTAAATAAGAACTTCCAAGGGCATCATCGCAACTCAATTTTGAAGAAGAGGGAGTCTAAAAAGAATATGAAAACCAGAGTTCGAACCTCAAAGCATAACTGCGCGGTGGTGATGGGAGAATCTCTCGATAACTTGTCCACAACACAATGGAATTCCAACCTTGGCGGGATATTGTTGAGAAGTTCGACAATTTGAATAGTCACACGTGGAAATAAGCCGTCAACAATAATAGGTTTATTCATTCCAAAGTAGGAAAAGGAGCCATTTCTGTGTGTAGTGGATTCAACCTGACGGAACTTTAAAAAAGGTGTACCTTTATCTATATACAATAGTTATAAAATTTGCGGTACCTCCAAAACAGCTACCAATCACCAGTAAGGCAACAAAAACTACTGAGTTACACAAACCAAGACCAGCCATTTCACCACATGAAACGTAACGCAGAGAGCTAACTTTCGTATTAGTGCGAATAATGAGTTACAATAAAATTCACAAACTAAAACAAAAGGTTATAGGAAACATATGTTGACCACATAATGCTGCCCTGTTATTAACTGAGGCCTATTCTCTATGCTAAAATTTTCAAAACATGTCATTTTTTATCAACGTTTCACAAATATGGAGAAACCGTGGCCCTCCAAAACCTTCAGTTTTAATGCAATCAAAAAAGAAAAGCCAAACAAATTGTTTTTTAGCGACGCACCATACCAGTGTTATAATTAAAATATACATTTTCATGAATTTATAATAGCCGAAATGGTTCAAATAGATACATTTGCAGACCAAATTACTTTTTCTCTCCATAAAAATCAAAAGCTTGATATGAATGAATTATGCTGCAACTACATAAAGACATAAATCCTTTTCACGCACAATCGTTTTGTCTTTGTATTAACTCCAGAGCTATGTCAAGGTTTGTCCTCACCCATCTGAATTTGGGCAAACTGAAACGCAGAATACTGCACTGATATAAATACCAAGAGTACTCAAATTCAGTTATATTTGATAAGTAATCATGCATCTTTTACGGAGAACCAACTTCTTTACCTTTTACTACATAGCAATTCAAATCCTTTGGAACACGAAGGCTTTGTCTCTGTCTAAGGAGTCTAAGATTGCAATTAGTTATTATAGACTATTGGATTTTACATTTAATAGTGCTATCAGATACAGTTCGATTGTCTTGATCTACTCGGTTAAAATATGATTATTAGCAGTCAATTTTTTTCACGAATAAACCATTTCGGAAAAATACAATAGGCGTGCGTCGACACATTCATAGTTCACACCGTACCTCAATTCTAGTAAAATAATTAATTTAATCTAGTCTAATTTATCGATTAATAGAAAGGCGAAAAGACAGTTAGGCTGTCAGTCAACTGTTACGATTCTGTAAAGCAATTTACAATAATTTTTCGTCTAATATCATACCAGACAATATAATAATTGACCAAAATTAAGGCACCCTAAAGGTTGCATTCGGGTCAAGTGGCTGTTTTACCTAATCATCAAATGCGACTAAACTAAACAGAGTTCATCGTCCTAAATAGCTGCACTAACCGCCGAATGATATTTCAGCAAACACTTGGTTTAATGACCGACTTAATTGTGAGAAATGAAGGCATCTGGAATTCACGGAGCACCTATTTCAGGAGAAAAAGTCAAATCTCCACACAATTTGCCAGTTAAATTTCTCAAAACAAATTACTTTGGTGATCGGTAAGTGTTAAAATTTACCGTCAAATAAATAGGCAGGTGCCAGGAGGATAAAGCATGTAAGAACACATTTATTATTACACATTCGCATGATGACAAACTGTAGAATTAAACAACATCAGTGGAGTGATGATAGACAGAATCGCTTCCTTTTTGTACAAGGCAAAGGGAGAGGCGGTTACTTGGAATCATGTTTGGGTGAAGAATCCGTCGACGACGACGCTGAAGAAGAGGCGGAGGAAGGACGAGACACACCACGACCGTTAGCCTCCTTTTCTAACTCTAGGAATTTGTCGTGGCACCACCGTCCCTCGTCATTGGCATCCGGCAGCGCTGACCGTCGACCCGAACGGTGGTGGCGTTCGCCTCCATCATCACCATCATCCGAAAAGCGAGATGTGCGGAAACTCTTTTGTCTGGAATCTATAAGTCGGTAGTTCATAGTACCAAAAACATTATTTTCTTATATAAAGAAAACAATTTCCAAGTACAAGAAAAATCTCCACAACGTGCGAATTATGGTGCATTTTAGTCGATTTGTTGAGTGGCGTTTCCTAGGGCTGCTGACACTTGACGAAAAAAATCCTTCAGTAGCAGGTGAAGTGATTGATTCCAAGCGAAAAGTTATGAGAAACCGATGTACGTAGCTGGATGCACGTTAAAACAAATACTGATTAATGATGTGGAAAGGATGATGGTTGGACTTGAGGTTTACTTGGAGTTACTCACAAGATCGAGTAGAATTAATTATAATCGAGAAACAATTTGTAAACCTAGATTAATTACGACTTACATGCGGAATCAAACAATCGCTAATATGCGCTTACGTGAAACAAGGTAATGAGGCGAATATCCTAACCCACAAAAAACAACCCAATTGAGGTCATAATTAACGTAAAGTAACGTTGCGGCACTTGGGGCTTGAATTATCTGACCTCAAGGAAGCCCGCTTGCTCTTTTATAGGAGAATTACATTATACATGAGCCGATCGAAAGTAATGCATAGGAAAAACAGCGACGACAAGCTACGCGTCAGTTTGGCCTTGGGAATCACATGTTTCCCAGCGTCCGATTTAAGCAAAAAAGTACTCAACGGGACAATCCGGTCTCAAAAAACCAGGAAAGTGGGCGGAATTGGAAAGTGTGGGAAACTTTTAAATATTTAGATATGATCATTATTGTGGTCAAACAAACAATGGAATACATAGCCGGTGTTTGGTTTGAATGAGGAACCATACTGCTAATTTGAAATACAAAATCAGGGAATTTGTAATTACCTCGGACATCGTAATCGGACCTTTTTCGATGCCACTCATTCCTCGAATATCCACCAGCACCAATGCGTCTTCTGCGGGAGCCGTAGGACCGTCCATCACGATCATCGTGCTGCAGACAATGAGTATAAATAAGCATCCACGTATGAGGTATTAGTGAAATCCAATCAGAATTGTGTGCAATTAGTAAGTGCGAGACCAATGCACTTATGTTGGGCCAGACTTAAATTTTTACAAATTTACGCAACGGACGATGCGACTTGAAATTTAAAGTTAACTTGGTAAAGATTTTAGCATCGGAATTCACGGGATATTTCTCAAATCAAAGTCACCATGGCCTCCGCTTTGTCTTACTAATTGAGAAGGAATAACATTTCTGATGTTTCATATCAATTACTTAGTCAAATCAGGTGACAATTTCGCAGGAAGGTCGTCCTCAGGTCGGTTTCTCAAAAACAATGCTTTTACTGAGAGGATCACCCATCAGTCCACTTTAGCCAAAGATGGCTTTAGAAAGGAAGACATCAATAAGGGATGCCAAATTGCCTCTTTTGATGTCCTTCATGGTGGATAGCACCATAACTGCTATATGGTTATTTCATATTTTCTTAAATCGCATCCACAAATTTCGGCATTACTTTTGCCGGAATACTGACCTGCACCAAAGTGGCACGTGCGCCCAATACACGAAAACAACCTTGGTGTCCATGCAAAAATTACCGGGCCCCCGAGACGACAGTATTTTCATTAAACAAAAAAAAACAAGACTAAAATATCACATTGAAACATTCTTTTTATTCGTTCGAGTAGTTGCGTTTCGTCAGTACTGAACATGGCAAAGTTGTCCGTTGATTTTTGAACAAATCTGTCATCCGCAAAGACTCGCTTTTGAAAGACTCGCCTAGTAATCACTGTACTGCTATAAGACAGTAGTAAACACAATGAGCACCGGATTTGTTTTGAAGACGACAACCTTGATTTTAACTCTTGATAATGACCTCAACAACACAGTGCCACTTGTCACGACAGATTGACTGATTCAAAATATCAAAAAGGATTTTTTCACGACCAGGCATAGGGGACGGAAAATGGTTAGATAAACGAGTTACGATGCGCAAGTTAGAAGGAGCATAGGATAGTTGGGCGACATACCATAAAATAGGAGGCGCCTTTTGGCACATCCAGAGGGTTTGAAGGACCTTCAGGGCGGAAAAAAACATTTGTTAGCGTCAAACGCAGGGATGAGTGCCTTCAAAAACAGGTAATCCTCACTTACCCAAACGGCTAAATGCATTAATTCGTCGCTGTCGGAAGTTACTGTCGGGCCTGCCTTGGTCGGCTTCACCACGGGGATCTGCGCTCTGGCCGCTAGAAAGGAGGAGCAATTTATAATGCAGAAGTTGCTATGCAGTTGCCCCATGGTGTGCACTTAAGAATCCCTCCAATTTAAACAAGTCAAATGTGTTTCATAAAATGAAAGTTGACAAAACGAAAGTCAGTTGCACCGATACCGACTTCAATGGAACGGTTTTGCACTGCAGGCATTGAAGGGTTAAATGTGAAACTTACCCCATGCGAAAATCGACACCTGAGGAAAGCACCGCAACCATCCTCTCAGTAACCTTCTCATTATCCTCTGGCTTACTGAATAAGGGTATCTGAAAGGCAACAAAAAATTCCATAAGGGTGAAGGCGGTGCCACATGTGCATTCGTGATTTGGACATACCAGTTTGCTTTCAACGTAATCAACTTGAAAACAAAGAAACACTTTGACGCAATTCTGAGCTACCAATTACGAACGGACACAAAAAGACGATTTGGCGTTCCTTCATTTACGATTTTTGGGAGAATTCTGTGCATTATGTAGCGATGTACGGATAAAATGTCAACACGTCGAGTTCGTACCAGTTTGCTAGTTAAAGCGGACCATTCAAAATATCGTTTGTTTTATTTAACTAGGATAGGTTAACCTGAATTGTAGAATCGACGGGTGGGCAATTGTACTAACTCGCATTGTAAGATTTTCGATCCAAGTAAAGTCGAATATGGACTATCATCGTGTCCACAGACTTCAATGATCATTCCATTCTCGTGCATGAAGTCAAAATGCACTAAGGAATAGCTGGTCTCGTATTCAGCAAACGCAAAAGTATTTACAAAAATTTCTAGCATCACATGAATTCATATTATTTACGGCAATGCATACACTCAAAGCAATGAGGATATACTGAGGATTATGCGAAGCAGTTAAAAAAGTAAAAGAGCAAGATGCTACCTCACTCCGATCGAACACAGGCCTGTGTCCTGCATTGGGAGGGTGGGGGAAGGCGAAATTCGGGCCCAGATCGAAGTTAAATGAGATTTCAGCAATCACATCAGAAACTTCTACAAGGTAGACATGTATAAATGAAAATGAGACCGCGTCTTGACAGCAAAAAAAGCTAGTCACAGGGTTTTCCAAAGAGCAACAAAATGAACGCGTTACAATCAAAGAGAAGGCGTTTTTTGATAAATAACGCAGAATTCGTTTGTCGATAATGCTGGACTAGTTTGTAAATGGCAAAATATACGAAGAGACCGTTTACTAGTATAAAACCGTAACTGGAAAGAAATTGAGGCGACATAAAAGTGCTAAAGACCTAGCGGTTTAAAAGGTTCCTTCGTGCTTCACGAAACTGGACGGCCTAGGAAGATATAAAGGTGAAATCTATTTTTTAAAAAATTATTGTGAAGTGTCAAGGGCGGATATTTATTTGATGTACAAAAAATGTTCCCATATAGTAGATTAGAAACAGATTAAATATAAGAGAGAGCAAAGCACGAATCGATACACAAAACATGCATACCCGGTGGCAAATCGCGTTCGATTACGACTGAGAGCTCCTTTGCCTCACGCATGAGTGTTGGTAAGGGAAGCTTGAGACGATTGGTGAGAATGAGATGGGCAAGACCCCCCAAGACACCATGGTCCCGCCGACGATGCCTCATTGTGGTCTCTACAAGGCGCTCAAATCGCTCGGTTAGCGGAGGCATTCGGCCGCTCTCAACACTTCCAGCACGGGGGGCGAGTGGTGGGGAGGAGCGACGGGAAGCAGCAGCAAGGGGAGGAGGAGGTGCATTGGGACCTTTGGGAGAGGCATGGCCGTCGCGCCGCGGGAAAGAGGAGTAAGGGGGAACCCGGCCAGCGGTGGCGCGGTTAGGTCGATAGGGCGAGAATCTGCGCGGCCGACCTGCTTGTCTGCGAAGAGGTGGCCGATATGACGGCGTTCTACTACAAACATTAGAAAACGTATACATCTTTAAAGGAGAAAATAGGGAAGTTCGCTGTCAGTGGTTGTGTACTGGCCTAAAGTCGCGGCAAATTGCCTTTTGAATGCAGCCAAGCGATGGCTAGCTAATGCAGACCCCAAATATGTTGAAAATGTGTGCTACAGTGCCTTGGAAATGATTCGGCAGCAACAATGACTTTAAGTCGACTCAGCCGAAGGAATTTGCGTAAAAAAAACGAACAGTGGAATACCTTGAGCGTCGACGTCGATAACGACCAGAACGCGACCGGCTTCTACTTCGGTTTTTGACGCGCGAACTAAAATGCAAAAGGTAGTGGTTATTATCAGAAATGAAACGACGTTTAAACTGGGATGTTTAACCAGATTACCGTGAACGCCGGTATCGGCCTCTGCGATAGTACTGCGGTGGTGAACGGCTACTGCTACGACTAAGCGAACGAGCAGACCGAGAGGACCTGGATGAGGTGGACCGACGTCGCACTCGGCTGGTTGCCGCGGGTTTGGGGACCTCAACTGCTGCGGACGGAACGGCTGGCGGGTCAGAGGGCTGGTTTTCAACTGGAGGTACTGGAGCCACTGGTACATCTGTGGGAGCCGACGGAATTTCAGCCAATGGTAATTGTGCAACTCCGTTCATATCTTGACACAATGAAACGCAAATGACGGGAAATTACTTCTACATGGATGAATCTAATGTTAATAGAAGAAATGTAAGACGAACAGCGTTCAACGAATACTAAGGCTCTGCGTTTAAACTAAAAGGGCGATAAAACCCGAATAATCCAAGCTAAAATACATTTAAACTTGAATCTTTTTCCATGGATTGCTTTGTTTGAGACAAGAAAACAAAATGTAAGATGCCTTGATGCCATCAAGAAGAGCATAAATACCACGCGTTTAACTATTATGATACTTGAAAATGTTATACACAGGAAGCAATTACATTCAACGATAAAGCTTGCTTTAAATAGTTATTGCATTAAATATGCTTCAAGGGCTATAAATTTTTTGACTAGAAACAAACTACAGACACCCGGTCGCAGACAAAGGAAAAAATGGTAAAGTTGGGCAGCCAACGGTATTTATTAGGCCAAAAAGTCTACAAAACAATGAAATAAAAAAAATAAAGGCAGAATCATGAAAACATACAGCAAACGGAAAAAATGCACTTATTATGCCAACATAGGCAGAAAGAGTCGATGGAAGAGGAAACGAAATTCAGTGAAGACACTGACGATTAGACCAAGGTGATTGAGCAACCGTCGAAGCCGCCCTGGTTATGGTTCCCAGAGTTCTGGGTGAATTACCCACGCGACGGCGAAAAGCGACCTTGCCGCAAGAACTTGCATAGACTGGAGGGGGATAGACTGGAAAATCTCGGCTGTACGCAGACCGCCACACGTTCTTTTGGTCCCCCTTAAGGCAATCTGAATCTTTGCGAGCATCAGCTGACCAGACGACCTTCGGCTTATTGTTAACAGTCGGTGAAAAGGGTTCTCCATTGGTCGTTTGTTTATCAATATCATTTTTGGTCTTAGAAAGCTTTTCCACACAAGACTGGTCTCCAAGCTTTCCCACATTTGATTTGCCACTCTTAAAAGTGAAAAGCACAGCCACTTAAGAACGTATTTGACTAGGAGGCCTCACACGCATTGTGAAAGCCTTAAATGTTAAAAAGGTATAGTTATACTGATTTTGTACAAACCATTAACTTCTTACACGAATTACACTTCAGTATCGGGCACAAGTTGAATGTCCCAAAAATACATACACATTTTGGTGGTCGACGCAACATTACACCAGAGTTACTGGTTCGAGACTGCCTACGACAGCCACGCTGAAGTGAAGAGGCGGAATTGCTGTTTGGGTTAGTCACCATTCCAGTGTCAGTTTGGGTGCCCTCTAGGAATTGACAAGGAAAACAATGGCAACACTACCATCACGCATTCGAACACAAGAGACATTAGCGTTGTCTAATACGGATTCATTAACAGAAGAAGATGCATCAATAAGCAATGTGCTGTCGGTATCACGGGGTGAGCAGGGATTGTCTGCGAAAGGTGACTCTGGCGATGAAGTTGAGTCACTATCATCAGACCATTGAAATGGGTGATGTGAAAGCTCATCAAGTCGCCTTTGAAGACGGTATGAAAGATTTTCCTTGTAGATTTGTCGACCGGATTTGAACGGCCTATAAGACAATTCATAGACAGACTTGTTTCGCATGGGAGCAACCAATTAAACGAGAAATTCGAGCTATTGTCCGACAAAATACTCAATCGCCATTGGTCTGGAAGAGTAGGACAAATTATCATCAAGTGATTGGGCTCACGGGTTAAGGTCATTATGGACAACCAATGTAATATAAAATAGCACAACAAGTTTCAATCTCATAGGAAGCACGTTTACCATGACTCAAATAATAAATATCTGAGATTAAAAATTCTTTGTGTGGCTATTTAGAAGTTACGACACATCTAATGGGAAAGTTAATGGTATTATCCAAATTTGTAAATTCAAGCCTTCTCTCGAGTTTACAGCGTTGTTATTTATGTTATATAAAAAATCAACCCTAATTAATTTGGGTTGCTAGTAACAGGATCAAAATTGAGATTAATAAAAAAATTAGGAATAATTCTTCAAATAAATGAGTCAGATTTAAGGGTCTGCAACTTCTAATATCTTATAAAATATCTTAAATATGCTCAAATGTCGTATACTTAGTGATCTAAAAAAAGCCCACACAGCATGCTTACAGTAGCATTTGTCTAAAAATGGGAAGTGATTATGGGAGTCTTTAGATAGCTGGAAAAACATTTAAAAAACTTTTTATATTCATCATAAATAAACAAAGATATTAACACATTACGATGCGCTTTGTTTTGAATTGCAAAGATTGTAGTTTTAACAGTTTCAATAACTTACAGCTTGAGATTTATTTGTGAAATTTGACCAAACTCGAATCAGTTATGTACGCAAGAACGTGATGCGTGTTGTACTCTAATTTTTAATACATGTGTTACACAAGCAAATAATTGCAGTAAATTACTCATATTATAATTACTTCTCCTCTTTTCACCTTTTTAAGTTAAATACTTGACCTAATTTTTATTATAAAAATTAGCTGACTTGAAATGTCTAATCACAGCGAACCCTGAAAATGTTAAGGGAAGGATGTGCAACTTTGACTACCAAATCCATTTTGTTTACCTAATTCCTTTAAGATCTTTTGCACGCTATACTTAAGATAAGAAATTTTAATAATCTTCGCTTATGTATTATGGTTTATTAGTGCTTTAGTTTACCAGGTGATAATGACAACCTTAGATATTATTGGACCACTGAATTCGTTAACCTTAGTCACGGGTTCGCATAACCCATTTGCTACTTGGAATGCAATCGCGATCGGAGAAGGTGTTAAAGCGCCGTCGGCCACACTCCAAAGTTTGGCAGAAGCCAAAGAAATCGGATATTTTGAATGAAAAGATTACTGATTTGCTATCTCGCCGCTCCAATTTATGTGAGGTATTAGGCTGAAGTCAAAACTATTTTGTGTATTTAACTCTATTTACTTAAACTGCTGGGCAAAGTTTACCTTATGTGGTCCCCTGTGTCACACTCACTATTATTGAGATGTGCAAATTTATTTGCTGTGTACCAGTCAATGAACTGCCTGAAATTTATTCTACTAGATGAGGAACGTTGTTACAATTTTCATTTTAGACGTGGTATTTGATCTGAAGTATGGGGAGCTATTGCTCTTAATGAATTTTGTAACTAGAGTTTAACCGCCAGATAAACTGTTATCTTTTAGGTTGATGGCTCTTCCTTTGAAAAATTCTCTCAATTGCCTTTATCAGAACCAACACTCAAGGGTCTAAGCGCCGGTTCTTTTACAAAGCCTACAGCTGTACAGAAGAAATCTCTTAAATACGCGCTAATGGGCAAAGATATAATTGTAGAAGCAAAAACGGGTAGTGGCAAGACCTTAGCGTTTGTTATCCCGATTTTGGAATGCATATACACGGAGAAAATCACCGCCTTTGATGGCCCCGTGGCAGTTGTGCTCACACCCACTCGTGAATTGGCAAAGCAAATATTTTCCGTGTTTGATCGCGTTGGGAAGTTCCACAACTTTACGATGCTTGATGTCATGGGTGGAAAGACTCGAGTACGTACGCATTTTTGGTGTATATTTAGTTGATGATCATTTATTTAACTAGTTAACTTAAAATTGATTGACGTTTCACACACTTATGTTATCAACAGCGCTATTGTTTGAGGATCGTTTCTTTGCCATTTCGGACGTCAGTCCATGATAGCCAAATTAATTTTTATTAGTGGCTCACACTATAACAAACCAAAAGACACCAAGTTCAGTTTACTTTACTGTTATCCCGTGTTTGTATTTTGTAGCCTACTCGTTGTGTGGTGTACCAGCTGTCTTGTGGCTTTGTCACAGCATGGGTAGTTTGGGTGCTACTAATCATGATTACTGTCATCGTATCCTCCTCTTTAGTGACTAGTGGTTTCCTAGACATCCTTCTCGGCCTCCCCCTTTGACTTTGTGATGGAAAATTTTAACTTGCTAAAATAACCTGCAATTTCAAAGGCATTTATTGTGTATTCTTGACATTTATAGACAGATAAACGGCAGGAGTGGCAAAGGGCCGCAAAAGCTAATATCCTCATTGGTACTCCGGGAAGGTTCGCGCAACATCAACAACAAAATCCCACGCTAGACATGTCAAATTTGCGCATCTTGGTTTTGGATGAGGTTGATCGTCTTCTTGATCCTACCTTTCGTAATGACCTCCTCGCCATAACGGACAACCTTACGACTGATCGCCAGTGCCTTCTTTTCTCTGCTACTCTGTCAAAGTTAGTTCTCACCTCTTTCATGTCGACTGTTTTGAGCTCAAATAATTCACTATGTGTAATTGGACAATGATTACTTCTTGATGGTTTTTTTATAATTCATCAAATGACTGATTCCATCCGGATGCGAAACCCAACATCTTTTAGGCCCTAGATATTTTATTTATTAACTAAACAACCTAAATCGATTTAGCCAATATCAATTTTTTATCATTTTTGACACCATTTTATGTATAAGCGCCAACATGCTCCAGACAGCCAGCACCATCTACGTCAAATAGCTAAGTCTAGCTATTGGAATTAATGGCAGTATAATGAAACTGGTCAGTTTTCCTAAAATATAGTGGTACAGCCATCTTGTTGTTGTTTTCCTAGGCCCAAAACAATTCCTTTGCTAAGATATTGCTTTCCTAGTGCTCTCTCATTCAAATACATTGCTTTTTATATTATTCTTTAATAGCTTGTAATCCTTGATCTACTCAATTTTCAGAACTCGCGACCAGCTTTCATGCCTAAACTTGAAGTCACCTGTATTCATTTCGACGAATACCACTACTCTCGCTGCAACGCCCGCACACCTCATACAGTTTTACTCTGTTGTTCCGTTGGATAAAAAATTGGATTATCTTTGGACTTTTCTACAGAGTCACTGCAAGAAGAAAATTATCGTTTTCTTCTCAACACAAAAACAAGTGGGTTTACAACACACATGCGAAATGCACCAAGTTCCCATTGTATTCGTTGTTGGGTTGTTTTACCTTTGAATGCCAGGCATTTTGTTCCTTTACAGTGTGAGTACATACAATCCTTATGCTTCCAATGTTGTAAATAAGGACTTAACAAGTGGTAGTGTTGTTATCCCCATGCTATTATAGTCACTTTTAACAAACATTTGCTTAATTTCAACCACAGCAATGCATATTTAAGTTTCTTTTTAAAGGTTCGATTTGTTCACGACCTATTCCTCCAAATGCGTCCTTACTTCACTGTAATGCAACTGCGCGGCAACATGCTACAAAGCAAGCGATTTAAAATCTACGAGAAATTTTCTCAGACCCCCAGAGGTGCGGTTTTATTCGCCACAAATGTCGCCGAACGTGGTCTAGGTGCGTTTCTAAACATTGTTTCGAAGTCATATTACCTGGTTTATCGATGCCATTGACGCCAACTTAACGACCTTCGTTTGGTACCACGCTTTAGTTAGCATTCACTGCATCACTTTTGCTCAAATGATGTCCGGTTTGTTTTCAATCAAGGTTGAAAACGTTGATGTTATGACTTTTGATTGATCCAATCAGACTCAAATATTATCGGAGTATCTCCCTTGTTTCCATGAGCGAATGTCTATTGTTGTGATTCTTTAGAATTCAAAGCGTATGGAGGCTTACTGAAACCCCAATCTATGATGGGGCAAGCCCAATGTTTCATCATTGGTTGATTATGGTTTGGCAACCAGTTACTCGCGAAATATCTGCTAATTTACGTGTAGTGTCCGGTCGCACGGTATGTCAGCCTTTGGTGGCTGTCACTTCCGTTTACACTAAGAAAATAAGATGTTTTAACTCTAATAATATGTGCTAAGAAGATTCCGAATTTGCGTTGTGCCCACCGGTTCTGCCTCGATGTCTCCTCGACAGCTTCCGGTCTAATGGGGCCCCATTCCCAATCGCCTTTTTGCCTCGCCCCCTGAATTGGCTACAATTTTCACCTAGACTTTCCTGAGGTGGATTGGGTTGTGCAGTTCGACTGCCCAAAACAACTCGACGACTACATCCACCGTGTGGGCCGAACAGCGCGCGCCGAGCACGTGGGCCGGGCAATCACCTTCCTCCTCCCCTCCGAGGTCAAACTGGTGGAGCTCCTCGCCCAGCGAAATGTCATCCTCAGGCAGCAACAGTAGGTCCTCACCACTCTTCCCTTTCTCGTGCTGCTGCTCTGGACAGGGGACCTTGTAGTTTGCGGCTCTAGATAATTTCAATAACCGCCGCGGTTCAGTTTGGTTTTTAAGAAGTCCTAATTAGGTAAAATGCAGGAACGAATTTCGACAATCCCACGTGCTCCTATTCAATGATATCTATTTTTGGAATATGGTCTGCAATTGATTGCAATTTCGTTGATTTGGTCAAATGGTATGAATGCGCTTTAAGTGAAGTTTAATAACAGTTTCATGATCATTGAAGTTCGCCCCCTCGTTTGTCTAATTGAGGTTTCTTGTCTTATGGAATAAAATCTCAAAGCTGTGATTTCTGGTACAAATGTCACCTGACCACACTTGCGTCTGTGTGTCCTGTCCATCTTGATTTTTCTCTTTAGTCCAATTATTAATCCAATGCTTCGATAATTATACCTCCAACAAAAAAAGCCACGAAGTTTAAAACCAAACCAGAAGCTGCTACAAGTACTCAATCGTTAAAATCACGAAACCGGATTGATCGTTAACTAACCCAGCGACGAGTGTTCGGGTGTTCACGACTTATTAACCCTTTGAGGAGCCTGTCTATACAACATCTGATCCTTGGTTGCGCAATGTGTGAGGCACTTTCCGTAATGCAGGTTTCCCGAGTCTCGTATCAGGCCCGTCGTGTCAACTCGTGCACCGGCCATTTTGGCCAGCCAACCGGAATTGGCCACGTCAGCTCGTGCCGCCTTCACAGCATACCTCCGGGACTACTGTCACGTGCCCAAAGGCTCAACCTCCGCCCAACAGCCTGTCAGTTTGAAGTCCGTGTTTCAGCCATCCGAACTGCCCATCGACGAGTTCGCAGCCTCCCTAGGTCCGTTTCCTACATACGAAGTCCCCTAATTGGTTGACGACTGCCAGTGCAAAGAAACAGCGCTTATTTTTACTGCGTAACCCTTTGAACTTGCGATGTGTCTCACGCAGTGTTCATAGACTACCGGATTCTCGTTTTGGTCCGCCTTCGAATCCACCTAGGTCATTCCAGTAGGCTTTGGTTGGGTACAAATTTGTATCGATTGGTGTAAGGAAACCACTGGTGGACGCGGTTGTGATGGTTACAAGGCTCATTGGTTTGAATCTTGTACTGAGGTGACCTCCTGGTCGGAACTACTGTCCATGACTATCAATTTCTGTATTTGCAGTGTAATTTCTGCAAGCATCTACCACTTTTTGATATGGTAGGACAGTGGCCAACACGAAACTCCGGCTCATGTCGTTGGTGACGACAGACTTAGCAGGTGTAGCGACTAAACTTGCTCCGTTTTGTACATTGCCACCTCAGGTCTTCCGTTAACTCCCGAGCTTCCCAAGATGATGCTCCATCACCAACCCACACGTGCCAGCGGCGAGAAGAGGCCTTCGATTTGGTCCGGCGAAGATAATGCTGGTAGCGACGACGAAGAAAACGATGGCCTCTTGAAACGCAAGACTTTCTCGGTCTTGCAGCCCGAATTAAGAGCGAAGGCGGAGGCTAGTGGTCGCAAGCTTCTCGAATTGGCTTCGTCCGAGGACGAAGAGGATGAGGAATCGCTCTCCGAGGACAATGGCCCGGTCCTGGCCGCCAAGTCGGATTCGGTTGTAGAGAACCCAATCATGACATCAGCCAAGGTACTCACTTGGTTCAACCTGGTCGGATTTAAGTCTTCTTATGTGTTCCTAGTTTTGGTATTTTGCAATACTTCCCGCTCAACATCGCAGTATTGCTTAAGCATGTGTGAGTTTTGGTAGAGACTCCTTCCGTCACATCCGTACAGCAGTAAACCACTCTATTTCTGAAACTGTTTCTACGAATTCGGCAAATGTATGGCATTTTGGTCTATGGTGGTGCAGGGTTATATGATACGGGTTTCTAGTCGTTTAACTAGATGCACGTTCCTGGAACGATTAGCGCTCACGTCTTTTGTATTGGACTGCCTCGGCAGTTGTATTTTCCGTGTTATTTCACGGATAGTCTTTGTTGAAGCGAACACCAGGTACTTGCGCCCCCTGCGTTGCTCCCACTGATTTACCCTTTAACTTGTAGAAAACCCACTTAACTCGGATCCAGCTGGCAAAGCGCGAACTGAAGCGAAACATACGTTCGCATTCAAAAATTGAATTTGACGAAAATGGAAAGGCAAGTTTACTAACTTTGTGTTTTCGTTATTTCCAGTTGCTGTCCACAGTGACTTCACATCACGCCTGATTGGCTTAGTCGTTTGGCTCCCATCTCAATCTCTCCCTTCTTGAAACCATAATAACGAATCAAACTGAAACCGTATTATCGCAGTAGGGTGAATGTAAAATCACCACCATCTTACTTACGGCCTACTAACACGAAAACCACAGAATTGTACATTTACGGCACCCATAGGCGTGTGGAAGATGGCGGGATCGTCGAGTGCAATTAGAAATGAAAATCCCACGATTACACTGAGCGCACGCGCACACCCATCTTCTGGTTGATGTTTAAGCAGATTCTAGCAGCTCAAAGTGACCAGTGTGTTCTAGCACTTGCTCTAAATCTCGTGAAACTCTCGTGGACCCCAGCATGTGATCTTGAACCACGCCGGGGCTACTGAGTTAACTCTGGCCCGATTACGCTTCCCTGATACTCGCGATGAAGAAAAATACCGGAGAGGACGTGGACGCAACCGTTTGCTTCAGAGCTCAACCACGTTGGTTTCGTGTGTGGCGTTTGCGCGTGCGTATTTACACCTCAGATGTGAGTCATAGATGCGCTAACATCGAGACCTAGGCGTTAGGGTAATCTAGGATAACCGTTGGCGGTAATGAGTGGGGAGTCGAGGGTCTGCGCGGCTGGCGACATGCTGCGAAAAGGAGGACCCTGTGCCAGAGGCTGGAGTGACCGAATTAGCAAGTGTGAATCAATGCGATTCACAACAGAACCAAACACGAAGGAGGACTACCAGTTCGTTGTGCTCAGTAAATCGCGTGAAGGCCTCGTTAACGTTTGAGTTTAGTTTTGTGCACAGGGTTATGTCCACCATGTTTTTGTGATTGTGAGCAGTCATTTTTCATCAGACAATCCTTTAGCTGCTTATCAAACTACTTAAAGAGAAATTCTACGGGATAGCTAATATCTGTGCGCTTAAAATCGGCGGGTTGTCGCAATGTCAACGCGTTGTCACCCACAATCGTAGCTCCGTGGCTTGTTGCCCAGACACACACGTGTAATGACACAGCATCCTCTCGCTTGTTGTCTTTAGCCTCTATTGAAGACGGTGGGCGGGGTTCCGGTGCCGTATCTGGACGCGGACAGCGAACTTCCACCGGCTCGCCTCGACATTGAGGCAGAACGAGAGCGCCTGCGCACCGTCGTAGACCGTGAGGATAAGATTCGCTGGCGTGAGAGGATTCGTGAAAAGCACCGTCTGGAACGCAAAAAAGCCAAGGAAGCGAGAAAGCTGGAAAAGGATGTCATTGCTCCCAGACTCGCTGTCAGCGACGAAGAGGTTCGTATCTTCATTTTTTTCTACTATTAGTTTTAAGTAACACTTTATTTCGAATTGACGGGCAAACCAGCGAAAGCACTCGGACGCATTACTAAAGCTGGCACCTTTATTATCTCACCACAGTTTGCCGGTGAAGACAACGTCGGTGGTAGTGAAACTGGCGGCGAAGGTGACAGTGGGTCGAATGCGGACGACGTAGAGGACGGAGGTGGCGACGATTCCGCCAGTGACCAAGACGGCGACGATTCCGCCAGTGACGAAGACGGCGCACCGCCTGATAAGCGTCAGCGGCAACAGTAGCCTCATCACTTGTCTTGTACAGATATGCCTAAATAAACGACTTGCTGCTTTTATTTTTTCGTTGAGTGTGTTGCACATTTATGAGGTGGGACGATACCGGTGGGAACAGTGATCCAATTGAGTTTTCAATTGAGACGGTAATAGAGCAAACTTGTCGGCTTTCCGTTCCACGTGGCATTCACCTTTCCAGGTTGTCTTGCTGTCGACCGCATTCCTTTTGAAAACCTGGTCTCCGAAGATCACGTGCCATTGCGTTGTTAAGGTATAACCAGACCTTTCGTAGGATGCTGTCTGTTGAAGGGATATGCTATATATTCAACGTGCCTCAGTCTTTAGTAGTTCTTCTTTTGGCGAGAAGAGGAATAAGGCATTGTTGATGTTGCAAGTTTATTACTCGTTTTGGTGTTAAAATCAGTTTTAGAAGGTATATGATGTGCCACCGTGGAATCGACAGATGGCCCAGAACCTCCGACATTATTTGAATGCATCAATTTAGGAGGGGTTGCAAATCGCTAAATTGCAATCGAGAAGAAGCGTTGGCAGTAGGGGTGGCTATAGTTCCATACAGCCTGGTATTTTGTGTGAATTTCTACTGTTGAATCACCGAGGTGGGTACAAACAAACACGCGAGGAAATGACGGCACGACTTTATTCTAGGTGCTCAGAGGTAGTGAGGATTAGTGCGTAGGAACAGTAGTGGGTTTTCTAGGCTTTTAATTACACAATTTTGAACATGGTCGATAGGGAACTCGCATCACGTTAGCTTTCAATGACCCTGAGTCGTGGCATCTCTCTTCAGGACATTGCGAATGTAGTCATAGAAGGCGTTCTCTTGGGGCGGAGGTGCGTCGACGCTGAGGTTCAGTGTGACCGCGTCATCCCACTGCTCCCGCGACTTCGAGCGGCGGCGGCGAGTGTTGGCGAACCACGTCGACACCTGCTTCATCGTCATGCTGGCTGCCAGCGACAGCATGACCTTCTCCGCCTTAGTGGGATAGGGGTGGTGTTGGTGCTCGCGAAACCAGGCTCGCAACACTGCTGTGCTCTCGTGCCTTGTCGATTTCTGTCTTGCCATCTTGCGGACCCTAAAAGTCCAGATGTGGTGATAGTTACCTGGCCACCTCTGCTCATTTGAAAAATAGAGTACTTATGGTGTTGAGCTATTGCAACACAAGCGTGTACAGCAACTCAAAGATAACTATCTATGGGACTAAATGAATCAAACACAACTGAGCTGTGGGACTCGCTTCATTAAACACGTAATTTTGCTCGGTGACGTAGGGCCATGAGCAAACCGTGATGCTCCCGGCGAACAAGTCAGTAGCTCGTTTGGTCAAACACAGGCTCTACTAGGCCACTTTTTACACGACATGTGCAATTTCTGAGGACTGAAACAGATCAGAATATATATCAAAACCACCCAGTGACTAGATATTTCGCTAGTTATATAATAGGGCTTATATCGTGAAGGTTGAACCAAAGGTATCAGTTATTGCTGGGAAATATCCACAGAAACTGGTACTCACTCGGAATGTAGTCTCTGTCCCTTTATTCTAGCATGTCGTTTCACTTAATTCATCACTTTTTGTATGAGAATTCCATTTTGCTACTACGGCATCGACACGATCAAACTAGCTTATAAGGCCTGAGCATGCAGTCAGTAGTATGCGAAGCGCACGCTAATATTCACTATAATACTTTCTTAGCAATCACTGATATGTGGCTTCTGCGGCTTCAATAAATGAAGATTCGCGAGTAAATAAGTTACTGATTTACCAATAACTCACTTTGTTAAAAAAAACCACCAAATATGAATACCATACCTTTGGTGGCCAGAGGAACCAAGGCTGGAGAGTTACTTGGAATGCCAAGGCGTTTGCGCTAAAAGGAAGAAATACTTCACTGTAATGGTAATAAAAGGAAAACGTGGAGACGACGATAATAATGCCATGATGGGCAAGCCGAAGAGCACGGACTCAGCAAAAGACTCCGTATGATCCATGGTGAAAAAATGCATGATTGAAGATTGTACGGACACCCAGAAGTCGTATTATGACCACTTTCCACCCTGAAAGGTTCCACTTTAGTAAATTTGGCTCACACTGTTTTAAAAAATCGTGCAGCCAACCGCACTCCTCTTACCTCAATGGCTACAATGACGAAGAAGAGGAGTTAGCAGATTTGGTGGCTTAGTGGAACGAGAGATCGACGAGAAATACCAATAAACTAAATTTTTAACCCAGAACAGGGAATGCATTATAGCTCACGATATTGGCCCTCGGACGCTTTCGATATGACTGATGTTTCCGCCATGCGTCTTTGTCCCAAGTTGTATTTCAGCGAATGAGGTGTACGCCACGCCTTTCGGTTATCCCGAATATAGAAATAAAAACTCACTGTAATATTGCCACGTTGTGTGATCTTTATCGCAAATTTACGTGAAAAATGTGTTACAGAGTGCCAAATTGTGGTTGCGTGAGGCGAAGTATACAAATGGGCTGTTCGTTAAAAGGATATGGTGAATGGTCGCGCCACAACCGCAAATTCGAATGTCAAAATTGCCAGTCATTTTGCAAGCTTCACTCGTGTTTACTTTGCAAAAAAGTACTGTGTGGCTACTTTAGAATGGGTGAAGTGATAACTGATATTCCCATTTATGTGATACCCCATTGACGAATAAATTGACTCTAGGAATAAAAAGTGAATATTTCCAGGAAGATGTCGTACCACTATGTGTAACCAAGGAATTTGCATTCTCAAAACTCACATAATGCTATCTCACATCCCCAATTGAGTGTTTGGGCAAAAGGGAGGCTTTTAAAATTAAAAAAAAGTAATACTGATTTGAGTGCCCTGGAAGACGCTACTAGTTATTTTTAGAACATAAAGATGACATTCGATTCCTGGTTGCACAGGCAAAGCTACGAGGCACTTTTTTCAACGCCAAAAGCATTTCAGTTAAGGGTTCAAAGCGCCCTTATGGAGGTCAAGGGCTCACTTCATTAGTAGAAAATGCTTAAATAGCTAGTATCATAGTGAAACAGATAACCTGCTAGCTCCTTTTTGGCCAAACTCTCTGCGGATGCAAGCACGCTTTTATGCTTAGCGGTGACTTTTCCAGAATTGGTAATTACTTGACCTGGTGTACCGGGGAAGAAAACTGTACGGTGTTTCCGACTGCAAGCAGTATGTTTGTTGATTTTTTGGTAGAAAATTCAGAAGACTAGAGATGCTTTCTGCGAAGCCGGAGGATTCCTCAATCATGCGAGCCTAATACCCCTAAATTTCTGTTAACGCTAAAGTGCATCACAGCGACATAAATATGTGTTCTTGATTTAATCAGAATGGGAACAAGATTCGCCATTTCTCATTTAAACTGACAAAAAAATAAAACCCAGAAGATTGGCTTTGATGGTGAATTTAAATACATCCGATGCATTAAAGTAAAACGAAAACCACTGGCACAAACCCATAGTAAGTTAAAGACTGCTCTGCGAAAGTGCTCGGATTCATGATAGCTGGTAACACCCGAGAGAAGCCAGGACAGTTTGTGCATTTATCAGAAACTGGGACCTGGATTCTTCGAGCGAAAGCCGTTCCTGATTGTCCCTCAAAGAGCCGCACGATATACGTGAGCCGACTCTTTAAGCAAACCATCAGAGGCAAATTGGTGGAAACCACACGAAAGACCTTTAAGGACCCCGACTGCTTCCAACATCTTGAAAACGGAGATTTTAAACCAAGGAAATGTAGCAACAGTGGCATTTTAGTTGTGGTGACTTGAAGTCCACTATGTCCTAGGCTCACAGAGGCCCTATCGTGGGACTCGAACCTACGTTGTGGCTTTGAAATTTCGTGAGACCTGATTAGGCTGGGCAAATACACCGAGTAGAATAAAAGGGCCTGAAACAGCTTCTCATCAGAACACTAGTCCCAGTTGTGTTGGCTGCACATGGCTATTGGCGTCGGCTGGTTGTATACGCGAGCAGTGGGGTGTGCGTGTGGAGTCTGGCGGCAACGTCTCACAGGCGTGAGGTACGAGGTAAAAGCACGCAGAACGGACAATGAACCTTGAGTGTGAATTGACACGACTCTTTCCACTGCTTAAGGAGTGCCAACGGCCAAAACTTACAGCTATAAGAATACAGCGAAATGACGAGTTTCTAATGCTTTCAGCACTTAAAATGGCGAGATTAATTCAGACAGTTGCATAAATTTGGTATGGTCCTTGGTTGCGCTCATTTAACATCTTAGTAACTTTCTTTGAGGCTTTTTATTTCATCACCCAAATTTTGACGCAGTTACCACAGAATCAATTCTTTTAAATACTTTGTGATCACTTCTTCGAAGCCACTGTCGGTCGCTGTCGAAATCTCTCGACCGTGAAACCAACTGCTTTTGAATCACCATTTTTGGCTTCTGGAGTCAGGTTTCCTACCAGATGTACGTTTTGGGCAAACACGGAGCACAATCTTAACGGCGTTTTACACTGCCGTTTGCCTTTGGAAAGACTGACTCCAAGACTCACGAGTTCGTCTTTGGGGCATTGATGTTGCATTCTTTAATAGGTATTTGTCAGTAGATACATGGCAACATTTCAGTCATTTTTTCAACTCAAAATTTAACGACCGTTCTGTTGGAGTTAAGTTAACACGTTGCTATTCTGATGAGATAATTTCAGTTGCTTGACTTCTCAGCCAATGCAGAATTTGGGTTTTATTGTGACAATTCTTCTAGTTACCCAATATTTCCATTTGGAAACCGTTGCGTTCAGTAAGTCAACTCGTAGTTTCATTTGCGTCACATCTACCTAGACTCAGCGTTTCGGACTTGACCCGTCTCCATTTCAATTGATTCTGTCTCGTAATTAACACCTGCCCCCTGCTTAGACAGAAAGTCTCCCAAGGATTCGTCGGTCTTTGTTGAGAGATCAAATTTCTCTCGGCACTCTGTACAGAATTTGCTTTGCCTACGACCGATTGTCGAAATACTACATTCACTCCTAAATGGCTCCATCATACTAGTCTGTAAAGCAAACATCCGCCCCTCATTGTTTGTGCCACTCTGCGGAATTTTTATCCAATAATCTTCTTAGCAATCGTGACTGTTTAGAACCACTTATTTGAACCAGACTCCGCCTTCAAGGTTGCACAAGCTGTTCACGTCTGCACATCTGCTCGTAGGAACTCCTTCTTTCCGTTCCTACGACTGCACGTTTGTGAATGAGCCGTAAGGAAGCAAATGTTACCGCGAACCAGGCTAGGATTTCCAGTTTGTATTGCCACAAACACAGCTGCTTGAATTTAAGTGGTCATTAATCTTGATATGGAGCTTGTCAGATGGAAAGTCTGGACTGTGAAAAAATTGCACAAAACTATATCAGGGGCATTCGAAGGAAGATTAGGTTTGGTTGAATTGGACCGCCACTTTGAGGGCAGCGTCACACGCTAATTTGAACTTGCGGTTCATCGTTGTGGGCCTAATCCTGTGTTCGTTCTTAAAATGAGCTTCCGACATCTGTTTTGTGCGACCACTTTGGACAAATTATTTTTTTCCCCATTATGTACACCTGGGATTTTTGTGAGCTGTCAAGACTCTTCATTTCCTCTCTTTTAAAATTTGTTTTCCTACCAGAAAAAAGATGCGTTTTACCAATCGACCTCACCCACCACGTCCAACTGGGCGTCAACCATGCAATTCAGAGTGGCTCAAATCAGCGCCAGAGCCAAAATGCACAAGCCACGCCGCGTGACTGCCGTTATCTCTCCGTGTGTGCGCTTTTGTAAGGGCCAACCAATCGCAAAAGCCCTTAGAGGCGACGTACTAAGAGATGAGATGCGGGTGTGAACAAGAAGTTTTCTGGATAGGCTCCGAGGGACCTCAACGTGTAAGGCAGGACAATGGATGAAGAAGTTCGCGTCCCCAGTCAAAAAGGAGACAAAGAAGTAGAGAAGAGTGACAAACCAAGTGAGGAAACGACGGAAACATCTGAGAAATCAGATGAGGAAACTACACCACGATTGAATGCAGCCGACAGCGAGACTGACAATTCAAGGTCCCCATCTCCGTCAAAAAGTTCTCACAGTTCGGATGGAGAAGTGCGCCACAGAATAAAAACTCCACCAGAGAAAATAGACGAGGAAAGGAGTCCACGAAAAGACGTCGAAGTGCCAAAAAGGTCTTTTCTCAGTATTTGCAAAGACGTCTTTTTTACTGCGTTTTTCCTCATATTAACTGTAATTCTGTTTCTTCAATTTGCTGCTATAGCAATTAAAATACTGTTCGCAAGTTAATATTAATGCTTGATTGTACTAGAATCCTCCCTCTATAGTAAACTACAACGACGAATTCTTGCTTGTTAGTATTTGCAAAGTATGCTATTGATTACAGTGTATCTTATCGTACAGTTCAGAAGCTTTCAGCATGCAGGTTGTTCTAAAAATCAGGAACATTATATCATGGTCGGCACGCATAACCCTAACCTAAGTTTCCTAAGTAAGATCAAGTAAGGTCGAAATTGAAACCTAGAATAGAGGGTTATTGGGAAAAAATCAACAACTAAGACAAGGGAACATCCAAAAGAGGTGTTTCGACCTAAATTGTACAATTGCGAAATGCGAAAGAAAACGCGGAAATTTTTCCCAGAATCCTCTCCCGTAAACACGCACAGAATTGTGGTGCTTTTCGACTCGCAATCAACAGAGTCCTAGAGGACTTGTCATGTTGTAGCACCACTTCGTAAGTTGGTGGGGAAATTCGGCCTGATCAGGAGACAGCATGAACTCAATTGTCATATTTCGGTTTCATGCTTATGCTATGATTGCACGCTTTTAGGCATGGTCAATGACTGCTAATTTTTTTTTTCATGTGAATCATAACCTGGTGAAAGTGCTGCCTTAGCTTAAATAGAGGTCGTTCAACAAGCGCACGCCTTTAGTGTTTCTGGCGCAGTGAATTTTTACAAATTACTGAATCGCGGCTCTACCAAATTCACCCCTGTATCATTGAACCATTTTCACAATAACCCAACTAACTGAAAATCGGTGCATGGTGTTGACAAAAAATGGTGATTTAAATAGACTTTCAAAAGGGATTTTGGCAGCAAGTAGTTGGTAAGTTTGATAAGATTCAGGTTTCTTCGGACGCATTGACACGCCTTTTTTAAATGGCCATTGTTATGGGTACTATTGAACACAAAAATGAATCACACGGATTTCTGGAAAAGACCACACATAAACAATCTAAATTCTGAGGAATTGGCGAATGGTAAATTAGCATTGGGATATTGTGCTGCTCATAAGGTTAATTAGATTTGCATAATAACGTCATTTCTTTAATATTTCGGAACAATATATTGTAGCTTAATACTCGATAGTGAGAAGGATGCCACCGATTTGGCAGTATGAAGGAGCTACATGTCTTTATTGCAACCTTTTTTCGGGACATACCAGTTTTCACATCTAAAATCTTTAAAAAAACAAGAGTTTAGCTGAAATTTTGTAGAGATTTTAAGCGTGTAGGAATCTATGAACAGCCATTAACCATGAGAAATTGTAATATTCCAGTTTTATAAATTCTGCGCAAACTCATGATTATCAAAAGTCACTCGAAATAGCTCAGTGTTTCACTTAAAAGTGATCGCTTCTATACCTGTGCCAGTTGCTTACAGGCACGGCGGAGTCTGTAGCAACTTCTCCTAAGGCTGTACTCATCAGACACATCTCCAACACAGAAAGAAGTGGGATTTTGTATGAAAATTAATTAGGTTCCTGACCATACAAACCGAACATACCTTTTGATTTGTTAATTAGCCCCAGAACAAACCAGATGGCCATAATACGTCATTACGCAATGGGGCTCTAAAAGCTTGATCCTTCATCGAACAGTCTGCGCAAGACACCACGCTATATCCAAGGTGCATTTGGTTAAAACAAAGATACCCATCACAAAAAGCTTCCTCATGGTCACCCCATTAAATGGTTGGTATAAATAGGCTCTAAGTAAAATGAAGCTACTCGTTTCCATGTACCGAAATAATTCTGGCTGCTTCTCTGAATTGTCGAGATCCAAGTTGTTAATTCCATATACTAGCAGCTGAAATTTAGATATCACCTTTGCGAAGTCGGCATTCGTGGATCCCATGGGTCAATACTACTAAGGAAAAAGGAGTTTGGTCAAATCGACGCTTCAAAGAAAATCCATTTGCGCATTGACAAATCCCAAGGTGGCTCTTCACCATAAAATTGCATCACCGAATCATGTGTCATAACTATCTACACCAGTTTCCACTAACACTATCTGGACTTTGTCCTATTGGACAGAGCATCAATCAGATTTGTGTAAAAGAAGAGGTTTGTTGTGGTTTAGGCCGAAGAAAATCTGTCACTAATGAAAATGGCTGGGAAATGCATACAACAGAGGAAATAAACAGAATAAAAAGTGAAAGTGGGTGCCTCCAATTTGAATTGGAACCCAAACCGAAAAATCTGTAACAACCTATTAACAGCACTTATTTAAGTAATTCAGAAAGAGCTGGAACAATTAACAATAGGCATATAAAACAGTAAAAGAACTTTATCTGGTGACTAAAATGATTCCTTGATGTTCACACTCACTCTTAAAAATAAATAAACAGTTCAATCGTTTTGGACTTGTCTTTTTCCCAACAAAAGTCTAATCAACAAAATTTGTTGAAATTTCAGCACAATTGGGGACGGGAAAAAAAAGAAATAGTCACATAAGAATTTTTACATGCACTATGTCATTAAAAGTACCTAAAGAGAAAAAATTAAGCGGTCTAAAACGAAAAAAATTGTTTGTGTTCTTGGGTATACAGAAACGACATTTAGTTAATAGCTTTGATTGGCCAGATGGCATCCTCTGAAGAGTTTTAAGTCTGTTCTAATTTTATTTGGTATGTAATAGCAATCAAGTTCACAGAGTTTTATTTTTTACGAAACAGTAGGTCGTCAGAAATATTCTGAAGCAGCTTTCTTTAATGCAGTATTCTAAAGACGTTGTCGATAGTTTTTGGCCTCGAGAATACTAGTGGGCTATTGGTCAGTACAACCAGCAAATGAATTTCCTGGACGTTTGGCGTCATTATGTGCGATTCAGCAAAATTTAGCCTAGTGTTGATGGTCCGTTTTCGAGATGTTCCCGTTCAAAGGCATTCTTAATAGTATTTTACGAGTAGGTTATGCTATGTTTTATGCACACCTCTAAGGGCCGAAAAAGATCTGTATCAGAAACACTTGAAGATCTTGATTTGGTATAGATGTTCTTATTAATTAACTGTTTTAATAGAATATTGAACTTCTTAAGGAGCACAAGGAATCTAAGGTCTTGAGCGCCAATAAGATTGCCTTTCATCTTATATTTTACGCCACGGTCCTCTACGTGACGGTGTTGGTCGTGTCATACTTTATTATTCGGCCATCAGCAACACACGGGAAAATTTTGTTTATTGTTTTTGCTATTTTTTATCCCTTTGTGTAAGTCATAGTCCAGTGCTGACTTTGGTTTAGAGTGTGGATGTTAAAGTATGCCATAAACCTTTTCTATCTTGGAAGTGCAGACAGAGCAGGTACCTTATTCCTTTATTAATCTTACTTTGTAGATAAAAAGTTGAAGGCTTTGATGAAACAGAAGCGAAAAATTGTGAGCATTTTTTGTTTCTTACATGAAATCCTAGCTGGAGGATGTTATGAACACCGAGACGTACAACCGGGCTCAACAAATTTTGAAGCGTTTTGATCCACTAGGCCTTGTTATTCGTGAAGAAGGGGTTCGTGACCCGTTTCAGGAATGATTTCTTTAGCCTACACCAAGTAGACCGTTTTTTAAAAGAGAAATAGAAACGAACACGAGGATGCGCCCTGTATCTGCGAACCTAAACTTTCAGAACGGGCCTTCACAAATGCAGGAACCACGAGAACGTATGTTACTGTGGGTTCTTGCTTTTACCTTTTATTTACAACTGAAGTCGGCCATATCGACACAGTTTTCTTCGTAAATATTCATTTATAGGATTTGTTTAGTTTGTTATAGCCTTGTTTTTGCCTTATGTTTTTTCATTTGGTAGTGATTACTCTATCCACTATCTACCATCATCCCCTCGCGCGTCATACTTTTTTTTCTTTTTTTTACAGTCACAACTCAGACCCCACAAATTCTAGGGCCACTATCCACAATTGAAGCGACCACAACGCAGCCATCCAAGGGACCTATAACTCATCGACCGATATTACCTCGTAAGCGGTCTATTTTCGATGTCGTGGTTGACGCCTTGGTTGGAGATGGACCGGATCGCCGTTATGCACTGATTTGTCACCAATGCGCGGGACATAACGGGATGGCCTTGGCAGAAGAATTTGAGTACTTAGGTGATGTCTCCTTTCATGTTTTACGCTCTGCTAACTTGCATGCAAATTCACATGAATTCAGAAATTATTAAAAGCTGCTTCTTGTCCACGTTCCCGGGATCATAGGTATGTGTTTATAAATTCATTGATCCACCTATTTATTTGTTAACGTCGTAGACTGGAGTGGTATTGGCATTTTATTAGAATGGTTAACGTTCCGATTGAATCAATCTGGCGATGTAACTTAAAAACGTTATTCCTTATTTCCAACTATTCAACCACTTGTCATTTTGTCAAGGCATGTTTTCTTGTGTGGGAAAAAAGAAGTGACCAATGATTTAGTGTCTTAATTCACGTTTCTCGAAGTAAATTTATAAAACTCCCAACACCCCTATGCATTCTTAGTACCATCGATACCAGCTAGGGTATAATGAACTTGTTGATAAATTATCACCTTCGTCCATCCCCTCCCCACCCAACCATACCTCAAAAAAAAAACAAATGTGGGCTTCTTCGGTGCTCATTTAGGCCCCCAGCCCTCACGTGACTCAAATTTCACAAAACTTGGTATATTTCAATTCAAGGAGGAATAGTGGACCAAACCCCATACACTCATTCTGCTACTCACGTGTGACACTTTGGTACTAATTCCGGCATGAAATCTAGATGCCTTCGCTTATTTACTCTACCCGTATACTTTCCACGGACTTTACGGTACCAAGCTTTCCACTCCACTCACTTATCCGAGGGACGTACTAATTTGAATCCTTAACTGGCGAAAACGGTGTCCGGTTCGTTGAGTTCCTATAACAACCCCTTAGCCACGTCTTTTTGATTTCTAGTGATCTGGTCATTCTAGTCTTGGTTTATTGGGTGTGGCCATTTCGCCCCACCAACCATTTCTCGGCGTGTTCTTTTTAATACGGCATGATGCGTTTGTAGTGTTTATAGAAACCTTCGTAAGGAAACACTCTTTTCACCAATTACGAGTCTGAAATGCATATTCTGTATTGAAGTTGCTTTTCCATCACATTAACTGAACCGGCTTTCACAAATCCCAAAATACCATTGGTTTCCTGAACACAAATACGTTACTATTTGGGCACCAAATGAAACGGAAATTCTCTTCTGTATTGCACTTTCGCCGTAGTAAAGGGCCTACTGGCGCTGAAATGTCTTGAAGCAAATCAACCTCTTCGTGCAACTTTTCATTTAATATTTGCATTCTTGTTCTTACTGAGAAGGCAAAGTCCTCCGTTAATTGTTTTTTTTGGTTTTAACACTATCGCAGCAAAAAGTACTAAATTTACATTAGCTATTTAAGCTCTATCGCAAAATGTTCACGTCCTGTACACGATTCCAACTTACCCAAGGTCTAGCGCCCACAACAACGGTACAACTCGAGGTCGAGACAACACGTGCACATTTAGTCATGTGAGTATTTCTGTTTCCGAGGTTGCCTGTTAGTTAAAACTATAAGGAGCATATTGTTGCTAGTCAATTGAAGTACACAGAGGCCGACTCCTCAGAGTATTTGTAATTTAATGTGAACTTTTTTAATAGACCATTTGTTTGTTTATACAATTTCAACCAATCGGACTAATGCCGTGCATTAAGGGCTGTGGTGCATGTCTTTAAATCGATTTAGCTTAATAACTGAACTGAATTGATAGGTGAAAAATGTTCGTCTTGAATCCTCACAACTCCTAGCTGATCCTTTATGTCTTCTCTGGCTAATTAGTGACAGAAAACAACTTTAGCACAGTGGGTATGATGAGTTGACGCATTATGGGGTTCCCAATACATTTACAATTAAAAGCAAGTTTTAGATTTCCCGATTCCTGCGTTTTTAATAAACTTGACTAACCAAGCTTGTAACATTATTTCTCTGCAGCAGATCAAACTTCTTCACTGCTTCATGATCGTTTATCAAACCCATCTTTCCGGCATCACTCAGCGTCTGTTGTTGTCACAACAACGAACCGGTTGGATTGGGCTTGTAAAACCGCCCTCTCTTAGCCACCCACTTACTTTACCGAACTGAATGGTGTAGGAATTGTCAGCTAGCAAGGCTCTCCGTTGCATGCAACGAACTTAACTTTAAAGTGGTCGATTTTTTCCCCACTTAAACCAATCCACTTCTTGTTATTTCATAAGTTTTTTTGCACTCTGTAAATGCGCAGAAACTGACGCAAATAGGCATCCCTATGTGTCAATATCTACTATTTTCAATCTGCAAACTCATTTGTCCAATGGAAAAGAGTCAGTAAATTGTCAGTTAATACCTGAAAATTTTTGGCATTGAGGTTATTTGGGGTGAAGCAGCGACCTCACTTAGAATGCAAACTGTCGTAGGTGTCGAGAAAACTACTATTTTCGACAAGCGTAAGTAGCCAGTCATTTTACATAACCTGACTACACAACCCAGTCGTGTTGAAGATAGTAACATGTCGAGCAGTGGGTGGTGTTTGTCGATGTGTGAAGCGCATCGGCACGTCAGGCTCGTTTTGTGGGCGGTACGCGCACCAAGGGATAAGGCGATTGTACAAACACCTAATTTACAAACACCCCTTGGTTAGCGACTTGCAGAACATAAACTACCGCTGAATACACCTAGCGAACCTTGTTTGTTTGAAGTCTCCTTCGATGTGAGTGCTTAACTTTTAAACCAAATATTTATTCTTTATTTGTTCGAGTTTTCGTGAGTGTAAGTCAACGAAGGCGTACTAACTTGAAATTTGTTCTATTTTTCTTTCACAGTAGAACAGTGAGGAGACTGTGCTTATGTGTTACAAGGTTTTTTAAGTACAGGGGTTGCACCTCGCATTCGTTTTTGTCAAATATTTTGGGTTTTTTTCTAAAGCAATCAAAGCAAGCAAACAATGAACGCTTGTTAATTATTAGCAACCCTAATTGTAAACACAGTTCTGGCTCGTTCATACTTTCGCAGCCATTGGTATCTCTTGTGCACTTTACGGAAGGTGTTGGTGGGTCTCCAGGGCTTTTTCGAGGAACCAGGGTTTTTGAAGGTACTTTGAAATACTCTGTGAATTCGCTAAGCCCTTGGAGCAGTCCACTATCAACTTACAACTCATATGTGATCTCATTCTGGTGTTCTGTTTGTTCGGCTTGATCTAGCTCACTGTGGCTTGCATTTATTTGACGCACCTGAGTTGCGTCCGGTGATAATCCCACATGCACCGTACTATCAATGTCTTATTATTCAGCCTACCTCAAGTGCTTGATTTTGGAACACCGGTTGGTTCACGTTTCCCATCCCCCCTCCCCCTAAGGTGAGGTTGAATTCGTTTGAAAGGGCGTTGTTTTCTGCCCCGCCCTCAATTGTGCTGTTCACGTACCCTCGGGTAGACGTTGGTTTTTGTCACCTGACTAATATGTGACTTGCCGCCCAAAAATACACTGTTTGCAGTATGCCAGAGACGTGGGTGTACGCTGATTGCAGTATGCTCTAATGGCAATGGTGTTTGAGGTGGGGGGGACGCAGGGATATTGTGAACTGGTAGTGGAAGAGGGTTGTACCAATATCGAAAACCGACTTCTCTGGCTCTCAACTTGGACAGTAAAACTCATTTCGAGGAGCCAATGACAACGCTAGAAAACCTACTAAACACCTTTCTCTATCGCGAACACGTTAAAGTCTACCGATCAGTCACACTTGGTTATTTGAATTGTGTTGAAGCAAGATCTAACTCCGTCTCAGATGTGTTAAAAGAACTGTCTGGTTATATTTCCAGGCAAAACGTTTTACTTGAAGTGCCAATTTTGTGATTTCACTCTTCTGAGTCCACTTAATCGCGAAATTTAGAAATGTAAATGTGATAACCAAGGCCATGGAACTATAGCCCACGTATTCACGTCATATTCGTGAGCCAAAAGTATTCTCGCTGAAGAATTAAGTGACATGAGATATCGAGGAAACAAATTTTAAAGTGCAATTAGCCATTTACAGGACAGGTGATGGTTTTAAAAATGCTATAAGGCGAATAATAACTGTCTAATTACGAGTCCTTTTAAGGTAATTGAATAAGTAGTGTTCTGGAGTCTTTCCATTTTTAGCCCAAGTGAATTCGTACGCAGAAAAGGCATTTTTTCGTCGAGGTGCCTCCTCTAGGAGTAAAAGTGTAGTAGTCTGTGGAATAATTTATTTTAGCAAAATTTAAGTCACATAGTGCTACCTGAATGCGTGGAAACATGAATTTATCTGTACCTTATTTAGTAAAGCTTATTCATTAAAAAATACTTGTCTCTGTAGGTAGCATTGTCCTATTGTAGATGCCCACAGCCGAAATACTTTTTGCACGAACAATACTTGAAGGTTAACGTGTCATTTTCCTTATTGAAGCATTTCGCTGTTGCTATTGCGGCTTCCACAACCCAGCTCGTCGTATTCGCCGCAACCCCCCGCCCGTTCCTCGACTGCAGACTTTCCCCAGTCCTGGATCGCGTTCTTCAATTGGAACACCCCTCTCGGGTTGCTCGCGCGGTTTCAGCGCCTCCGCGGCCAACCTCAGCGTCACCGGGCCGACGCCCCCCAGCCCCATAAACAAATCCTCGTCCACAGAAAACGTCTTCCTGGGGACTCCTGTTCTTTCTAAGGTGGTCGAGGTGTCTGGCCTTTTTTCCGTCGAATCGGAAGAATCAGAGAATCTTTCTCTTCCGTCTGGGAGTCCGACTGGAGTCCACGCGAGCAAGCAACAAACTAAGCGCACCAGGAAGCTACATTAGACTTGGACAATTTACCCGATGGTTCTTGTGTCTATTTCAAGACGGCAGATTATACGACGCTGTAATTTCTAGTCGGTTCTTCTGAGAAATGTCGATCACGTCGACCGAGGTTTTGTGAAATGCGTGCCACGGAAGGATTTAACACATGCTTCATGGGGCTTTGTTGGATCACTGTTAAAGCGTAGATCTGACATCTTGCCGTGTCAACTCTTGTTCTTTGTTTATCGTTTCATCCACTTTCCAATTTTCTGTGAGCTACCAGTCGGTTGTGTTACGTGGCGAATGGACATGAAAAGCGCGTAAAAAAGCAAAATTTGTTCAAATAATCATTTTAACTGAAGCCGCTGTTCTATAGGATGTTTTTTTTAAAGAAATTAAAATGTTCTTTGTCTTAGTTTCTACATGCATCGTCGTCATAAATTTTAATCCATTCACACAAACCGACTAAACATTCGGCGCCGTGTTGAAAAGTTCATTCCTGCTTATGTGTTGTTGGTAAAACAAACAAAGCTGTTGTCAGTTGGTTTGTCTGTTAATCTGCCAACCTTACTTTATATCCGCTTGAAACCTGCTGCTTTTACGCGGTGATTTGAAGTTGATTGTATGTACTGGCAAATAAATCGCAGTTTTCTGTTGACGAGTCAACTTCCCAGCCCTCGGGCAGGCTAATCCGCCTGCTACGGGAGTTAGACAACCCTATGCTTGTCATCGAGTGCATCAGTCAAGTGTACAATTAACTAAAATACCATTTCGCACAGTAGGTAACGACTATGGGACCAATAAAAACACAAGGAGTCGTATTATCACAGCAAGACCGAGGTCTGAGTATGCTAAGACGACGATGAGCCAGGCGAAGCGCCTTACAGACAAGGTCGGCTTATTTATAGATAAGAGTAGACCTCGTGTTTGGAAAGCCTACGTAAAGTAGACCAAAAGAGCCTCCTGGTAAAGCTGCATGCATAATTAAGGTACGAAAAGCGTGTCGCTTAAGACACGCGTCACTGAGATCGTAGATGGCATAGTTCACGGGTGGTTTGGGAATCGTCGGAGGGACGGCTGTTTTCAAAAGAGGGACTGATACGGAAGGCAAGTCGGATCTATTTACACAATTTAATGGTGTGTAATATGATGACGAAGAGAAGAACACGGGGAGTACGCATTTGAGAAAAATTGGTTTCTTTAGGATCCATGATGAACAAAAAAAGTGTGTTTTGCAGTCCCGAGGATAGTTGCAAGAGGTAGTAATTTGGGCAGGTATACAGAATTGAGGAAGTTAAAGGGACTCAGTCATCAATTAAGAATCTGGAGTCATTGCAGAAAAAAATCTGTTCAGTACAACATCTGATTCCACGTGCTATCAAGTCCAAAACAATCATTCTGAGCCAAACCTTTTGCCACAGTACATAGGGGCGTATTGTGAGCATTCCGTAATAGTAGTAAAGGACAGTAGGTTAGTGGGGCAATGAAAAATGGTGGCGGGATTCTTGGTGCACAACTGACACAGAACGCTGTGTAGACAAGCGCTTCCTGCTTCGAGTTTCAACTTATTACTGTGATGTTGACAGAGGATCGCAGCCTAAACGGGCCTCAAAATTAAAAATTGTCGGTACTAATAAAGTCAGTTATTAGCGCAGCCCTTAGAGGGTGATTAAACTGTCCGACTTTAAAGTTGAGGCAATGAAATATGTTCTTGTTGGGGATCCGCGATTCTCCAAGATTGGTTTCTGATTTTATTTACATTAATTTATTAACATTTGTTTTGTTACGCTTTTATCAAGTCAAGGTCAACCT